GAACTTCTGCCTTCATCACCATAGGCTCTGGCTCAAATGCTATTTCATTAAATTCTTCTGTATCTGCCAATTCCTTTCGATACAATGACTCAGTATATTCCTTCCATCTTCTTTTGATACCTCCTGGATCATTTAACATTCTGCCTAAAGCATCCTTGATTGTAGCACCTCAAGGTTTGAATTTGTTCTTCAGTTCCTTGAGCTTAAGAAATGCTGTGACTCATAGCGACCCTATATGTATAAGAGCCCTAAACTCTGCTCTATCCTGTGCCAATCTCATTCTCTCCACCACATCCACTCCCATTACCTCAATCACTAACTCCATTCATCTCATCAAGGGTCTTCCTCTCCTGCACTGGCCCTCCATTCTCCAAACATAATGTCCCTCTCCAAGCACTGGTCCCTCCTTGCAACATGCCCAAAGTATGTCAGTCGAAGCGTCAGAATCATTGCATCCAAGGAGCATCCTGGCTTCACCCTCTCCAGCATGAACTTCAGTTCTCCTAGCAGTCCATAGTATATTCAACACTCCTCCAGCACCACAGCTCAAAGGCATCAATTCTCTATCATCCCTAGTCACTGTCCAACTCTCTGACGCATAGCATGAAATTGCGAAGACTATGGCCCCGAACAGCCGCACCTGAATGTTGGGATTCTTTCTTGGTTTTCTGCCTGTTTTGTTCTATATTGTATGGGTTTGTTCTTGGGATACACATTCAATTCTCTCAGCTCTTTAGCTTTGGGAAAGAAGATGAAAAGTGTATGCTATTTAAGGGAGAATCTAACAGGTAATATTACTAGCCCTATTATAAAAAGATTATGGACCTCTGGTTAAAAAAATTGTACTGCCAATGCAAATGTAACAGTTCAAATCCACTAGCTGTTCTGTGGGAGAAAATGGGCAATCTTCTCCCATGCTATTTATTGCCTCTAAAAACCCACTGGAGGGTCAGTTATAGATCAGTTTGACTCCAGTGGTAATCAACAACATTACAAAGATTAGTCCAATTGCCTGATTAATCATAGTTCCTGAATAGGAGGCTCCCATTGTCTAAACTATCAACATTTAAAGAGTGTATGATTAAGCATTATATGCATGACAACAAGAAGTACATTGCAAAGTGGCCTGGGGGAGGGGAAAGAGAGGGAGAGGAAAGAAAATCTGCAACAACAAGAGAATGAAAACCCATTCTTTCTGTAACCTTTTGTTAAAATCGCAATAAATTTTAAAAAATCAAGAGATAAATCACAAACATGTAAAGAGACTTGTAACTAGTACAATCACACAAGAATGCATAAAGAACTATGCAGGTTGGAAGTTCCGTATCTGATCCAGTCTAAGAATGTTTGGGCATTTCTGAGCCAGAGTTGAACTTTCTAGACATTCCTTTATATTAAAAAGCTCTATAGCATCGTAGAAAATCAGAAGTGAGCTTTCTTTTTCGATGGTACCCTTAGGTTGGTTCGAACAATCCACCAAACTTGGTTAGCTGTCCAAGGCAGACCTCTTGCACACTGGTCAAGGCAAACTTTCTGTATCTTGGAGATATCAAATGTTGTTTTAATAATTCTTCACTTGTAATATTTCAGTTCTGTGTTAAAATGTCTGCTGCTGAGGGAATCTGTACATCAGGAAGCCCAACCCTTGATCATGAGAAGACAAAGCCCCTCAGATGTCAGGTTCAGAGAATAGAAGGCTCCTCCAGTCACTTGGTGACCTTCAGTGTACTTCCTCTAGAAACGGGACTCCACAACATCAACTTCACACTGGAGACTGAAACAGGAAGAGAAATCTTAGTGAAAATGTTACGAGTGGTGGTAAGGAAAATTTACTCTTTTGGATTCTTTGTCACAAAATGATTTTATTCTTGGAGGGAAAGCATGCTGTCAGTAACATGTTTCCTAAATGGTTCAAAAAGAGAGACTAATAGAAAATGATAGTGCTTATGTAATATAATGTTAACTAGTATGGATGGAGAGTATCTCAGATTTGGGTTTCCTATTGTAATTTTTCTGTATGTCTAAAGCCTTGTAAAATCTTTTAAAAGTCTTTCTTACATTGGAAAGTTAGGCAATACTGGAAAAATCACAGAAAAGAGAATAGAAATCACTACTCTGGAATACCCAATTTTAACAAATCCTGATGAAAAGCCTCTCAGGGTTTCTTTTCTCCCCACAATATAGTCAAAAGTGGGTCTTTTTACTTTTGTATGTGAGATGATACTGTTGTTGCTGTTGTTGTTGTGTATCAGACTCTGAACCAACTGTTGTTGTGTACCATAGAGTCAGAACTGACCCATAGCTGACCCTCCAGTGACTTTTCAGAGACAGTGAATCGCACGGGAGGAGATTGCCCATCCTAGAGAGCTATAAATGAGACATGAGTCTTGCATGTGAAGATTTTACAATATAGAAATTTTGCCATTTTAGAAATCAATGAAATGCAAAAAAGGAATAGAAAACTCATTTGTTGCAGAACACAGATGAGCAATGATATCAGTTTGACAACTAAATGTGCCTGATTCAGGCTATGGCCTTCTCAAACACCTGTTACACATCAGGGAGCTGGACACTGAATAAGGATGATAGAAGAATTGATGCCTTTGGGCTGTGCTGGAGAAGAGTACTGCATATCCCATGAGTTGCCAAAAGAACAAACAGAGATGTCTTGGAAAAGATGCAACCATAGTGCTTCTTGGAGGCAAAGTTGGCCAAGCCTTGTCTTTCATACTTTGGACATGTAGATTTTCTTTACCCTTGAAATGGTCAAGAAAAGTTGATCCAAGGAACTTGGGCCATAGAAATTAAGTAACTTAATGTCTTCTGCCTTTATTTTAGCCAGAAGGTGTCAAAAGGGAAAGTCATGCTGGCATTACTCTGGACCCAAAGGGTATTTACGGTAGGCAAAACTTTTTTATTTTATATATTGCCTTTTGCTCTGAAAATTAAAGTATATTTGTAATCTAAAGGATAATTTTTCAAAATTTTTCTTATCTAGAACCAGAAATTTCCATTTCTTAATTGATTACATTCTTCACAGCATTTGTTGTACCCCAATTTAAGTGTTCCCAAAGAGGCTGTAAATAGCAATAAGAGGAGACTCTGCACCTTCCTCTTGAGGAGCTGCTGGTGGATTCCAACCACTGGACATGTGCAGTCTTTAGGGGCACAATGCGCTGCAGACCACAGTCATCTGTATGCTGAGCGAATAATTGTGGAAGCTGAACTTTATAACGAAGAATGTGGTAACAGGATTGGAGGACGGGTCATCAACATCCTGTATCATGCAAATGGCACAAACTTGCTTGCAGAAAGCGAAGAAGATTTGAAACACTTATGGATTATACTTCAACATTAAGAAAACAAAAATCTTCAACATTAAGAAAACAAAAATCTTCGTCACAGGACAAATAAGCATCATGACAAATGGAGAGACAAAAATTGAAGTTGTCAATGAGTGTATTTTACTTGAATCCACAACCAACACTTATGATAGCAGCAATTAGAAAATTTTAAAAATATATTGTGTTGGGGAAATAGGCTGTCAGAAACCTCCTTAAAGAACCAGGTTGAGTGAGCTCTGGTGGCCGAGTGGCAAGAGCTATGCTGTAATCCCAAAGACATGAGGTTCAAATCCACCAGATGCTCCGCTGGAGAAGGAGGAGCAATCTCCTCCTGTACCGGTCAGATCTGATTTGACGGTACACACACACACACACTAAAATTTAAAATAATAATATTTTTTTAAAAAGAACAAGTTTGTCAATGTAAAGAGTAAGTGCAAGTGCATCTGATTTGGGCCATAGTCTTTTCAATTATTTGTTATGCATCTGAAAGCTGGACAATGAATAAGGATGACAGGAAAAGAATCAATGGCTTTGAGCTGTGGTGTTGGAGAAGAACACTGAATATCCTATGGACGGCCAAGAGAACAAACAGCTATGTCTTGGAGGGAGTGCAGCTGGAATGCTCTTTGGAGGCAAGAATGATGAAGCTTTGCCTCAAATACTTCGGGCATTTTGCTAGAGATGCTATTTCTCGGAGAAAGACATGATGCTGGAAAGGGTGGATGGTTAGCAAAAGAGAGGAAGACCCTCAAGCAGGTGGATTGACACAGTTGCTGTTGTAATGGGCTCTTGTGTGTCAGGAGGTGTGAGAATGGCACAGGATAGGGCAAGGTTCAGATCTTTTATTCATAGGTTCTCTGTGAGTTATACTCAACTCGATGGCACCTAACAGCTACAACCCAAGTTATGCTATTTCTAATAGTTTCTTATGTATCTGAAAGTTAGATCATGAATAAGAAAGACCAAAGACCAGATGCCTTTGAAATGTGGTGTCAAATGACAGTGTTGAATATCTCATGCACCACCACCAAAAGATCAAACAAATATATCTCAAAGACATTGTAATCAGATGACCTCTCAGAGGCAAGGATGTTGAAAATTTCTCTCACATGCTTTGGACAAGTCTGGAGGCACCAGTCCTTCAAAAAAAGAGATCATGCTGGGGAAAGCAAAGGATCAGAGAAGGAGAGGAAGACCCTCAAAAAGATGGATTGACTCAGTGACTGTAACAATAGACTTGAGCGGGGTAGAAGAGATTGTGAGGATGACGCCAAAATACGTCATACTTCAGAACTGTTGGAAAGAGCGCTGCTGTGAGTCTCAGTGAACTTGATGGCACCTAACAACAACAGAATCATAAAAGGAGGCTAGGTGACACAAGCAGTTTGCAATCAGCTGTCATCTAAGAGTTGGCAGTTTGAACCAGCCAGTGGATCTGCAGAAGAAAGGCCTGGTGAACAGTAGAACAGTTCCACTCAGTAACACACGAGGTCACTGTGAATCAGGGGATGCTATGAGCCAAGGATTGATTTTAACAGCTAACAACAACAAAGAGCTACATATTAGTTATTGTCAGTTTTCCATTCCAAAAACAGTTCTCCTTGAACAAAATAGCATGCAATACACAAAAGTCAACTCAAGGTGGATCAGAGACCTCAGAGTAAAGCCCAAAACCATAAAGTTCATTAGAGACAAACTGGGATCAAGCTTAGAAGGCCTAGTCTATGGTATAAAAAAGACTTCCAAGTACAGCCAGAAATGCACAAACTGGAGAAAATAAAACTGATGAATAGGAGCCTTCTAAAGATGAAATACCTGCACACATCAAAACAGTCTTCCAATAGAGTAAAAAGAAAACCTACTGCCTGGGCAAAGACATTTGGCAATACCATTTCAGACAAAGGTCTCATATAAAAAGATTACAGATTGCTATAGGGCCTCCACAAGGAAAAGACTGATAACACAATTATAAAATGGACAAAAGACATGGAAAGAATTTTCACAGAGTGAAATATTTGGATGGCCAACAGACACATGAAGAAATACTCAAAACCACCGGCAATAAGAGAGATGCAAATCAAAACCACAATGAGATACCATCTCATTCTAGTAATAGTGGCAATCAATATTTAACAAGACAGCAAGTAATAAATGTTGGAGAGGATATGGAAAGATAATTCTTATACATTGTTGGTGGGATTTTAAAATGGTATAACCATACTGGAAGGCAGTTTGGCACTTTCTCAAAAAGGTGAACATAGAAATTCCATATGGCCCAGCTATTCCACTTCTTGGAATATACCCCAAGAAAATGAGAACTGAGGCACAAAAGGAGACTTGTATACCAATGTTCATAGCAGCATTATTCACCATCACAAGAACATGTAAATAGCCCAAATGTCCAACCACAATCGAACAGATTGAGAAATTATGGCACATTCTCACAATGTAATACAATACAGCCCTTAGGAAAAATGATTTTGTAAATTACTATATAACTTGGGGGGAAGTGGAGAGCATTATGTTAAGTGAACTAACTCAGTCCCATAAGGACAAATATTGTATAAAACCATTACTGTAGAACAAGTGTGAGGATCCAGGGGAGGTGTGGGCTGAGGATGAACAGGGGTGGAGGGGGGGTAATCACAGGGTCACACAGTTTGATGAGTAGAGGGAGGTGAAAGAAATGGGAAAGATCCGGTATGAAAAACAATGTATATGAACTTTGTAAATAAAACGTATAAAATAATTTTTTAATTATTTACTTAATAAATTATTTTATTTTTAAAAATTAAATTTAAACTAATTAATAAATTACTATTATTCTTTTATTGCCAGGCAATGAAATTTGAAACGTCGGGGGGGGTGTAGGAAATAGCATGCAAGCTTTTTGAATTGATGAATAGCAATTTTATAATCTATTTACCCCTTACTTATTTTATTCTATTGTATTAAATCAACTCAACAGTATCTACCTCCAACAACAGTTTATTCCCTTCTAGTAATGACCAGAGAACTTCTAAACACAATGCTTTATTTAACAAGACTATGTAAGCCTTCCCACTGCAATCAAAATGATTCTGACTCATTGTAATCCTGCATTAAGTTTCTGAAGCTATAAATCTTTATGGGAAGATACTGTCCATCTTCCATTCACAGAGCTGCTAATGGATTGGATCTACCAACCTTCTGGTTAGCAAGCCAGCACATAATACACAGTGCCACCAAGGATCCCTTACAAGTATCTCTCTCTCTCTCTCTCTCTCTCTCTCTCTCTCTGTCTCTCTCCTTCTCCCTCTCCTTACCCTCTCCCTCTTCCTGCTTCTGCTTAACTCCCTCCCTTCCTCTCCCTTTTCCTCTCTCTCATTCCCCTTCTCCCTTCCCTGCTCCCTCTCCCTCTCTCTTCTTCTTCCTCTCCCTCTCCTTTTCCCTCTTCCTCTTCTTCTCCCTTCCTTCCTCTCTCTCTCTCCACCCCCCACACCTCTCTCTCTCTGCACCAAGGAATGCTATCCACCTCATGCTGTTGTTGTGTACTGTAGAGTTAGTTGTAGAGTGGGAACTTACCCATAGCTGATGCTCTGGTGGGTTTTCTGTGGCTTCTCCCACAAAGCAGCTGGTGGCCTCAAACTGCTTGCTTTCAGGATTGCAGTGCAGATTCTTCATAAGTTTAAATCAGGTTTTCAAGGTTTTAAAGAGGCCCTCTGATTAGTACTGCAACACATTATGGACTATGCCACCAGAACGCCTTCAAAAAAGCCTAAGATTTGCTCCAAATGTTTAACTTTCTTTTTCAAATTATTATTCATTTTTCACTTTCTTTTGAAAGTTTAATAATACTATTCCAAAAGTCTTTTAAAGCATTCTTTGGATGTAGGTTCATTATAAATATTCTTCAAAGTATGTAGTCTTCCCATGAAAACTGTGTAAATCTTGTATCATTTTTAATTTCAGGTGCCATTAATAGACGAAAAGAGTTCCCATACAGGCTACCATTAGATTTGGTCCCCAAAACAAAAGTCAAAAGAACTGTAAGTGTAAAAGGTAAGTGAACTAATACCACGTCTATGGCAAATTTCTTTTTCTACTTTATATAAAAAAAAATGCATTCACAATTACTCTGTTTTCCCACTTCTGTGCCTAGTACCACACCAAAACCCACCTCTGAGAGTACCTACCCTTCATCCCCACCGTCAACAACTCCCCTCACTTTCCCAACTATACTCTTCTACTCCTCTGATTTAAATAGAGGTTGGCTCTCCTATGATAGAGAGTAAGACTGCCACTGGTACAAAGACTTTTGTAAAATGGACAATGTAGTATTTCTAGATATAAAGAATATTCCATAATCTTAGTAGCCAGTTCTGCTTCAGAAAAGGTTTTATGGCCTTATGAATAGTCCAAAGGAGCAGCACTGATAATATTCCCAGAGAAGTCCCTTGATTTATATATAGTAATGAATATAGTAACATATTGTCTGGTGAATTTTCTTTGATCTCTAGCTTTTACAATTTAATAACATATCATCAAAATGATAACATGTACTGGCTGCATTCTACCTCAGATGAGACATTGGAATCATAGAAATGTTAGAACTGCCAGAAACCTTTTTTATAAAAAAAGGTGCCAACCAGACACTTCACCAAAGAAGATATTCAGATGGCTAACAAGCACATGAAGAAATGTTCAAAATCCTTAGCTCTAAGAGAGATGCAAATTAAAACAACTATGAGATATCATCTCACCCAGAATAGCAAAATTTAACAGAATAGCAAGTAGCAAATGCTGGCGAGGTTGTGGAGAAACTGGAGCCCTTATTCACGGTTGGTGGGAGTGTAAAATGGTGCAACCATTGTGGAAGGTGGTATGGCTCTTTCTCAAAAAGTTGCAAATAGAGATACCATTTGACCCAGCAATTCCACTACTGGGAATATACCCCAAAGAGACCATAACTGACATCCAAGCAAGGAGTTGAAAATAATATAAGTGCACATTAGCAAACGAATGGATAGAGCAGCTGTGGTATATTCACACAATGGAATACTATGCTGCATTGAAAAACAAGGAGCTCATGAAATATTATTCAAAATGGGTGACCCTGGAGGACATTACGCTCGGTGAAGTATCTCAGTCACAAAAAGACAAATACTGCATGGTGCCACTGTTGTAAAACAGGACTAACCTAGGGGTTGGGGGGAAACTGAGAAATGGGTTTAATAACGTATACTGCATTGAAACAGATGAGGGAGAAAACTGTTTAAAAGGGATATGTGATTAGGTATTTTTTGTCATGACAGGAGTCCAGAGTGAAGGCTTCATAGCAGAGTGGACCTGGGGGAGGGTTTGTAAAACAATGAAATTTTTTTTTTACTTTTCCAAGAGGGTAGTGTACTAGGGGGGAGGGTTGGGAGGGTAGAAAAGTGCAACAATGAATTAATGGAAATCCAAAGTCTCTGTAAATTTTCATTGAAATTAATAATTGTTGTTGTTGTTGTTATGTGCTGTTGAGTTGCTTGCGGACCCATAGCGACCCTATGTACAGCAGCCCTAAACCCTGCTCTATCCTGTGCCAATTGCACTGCCTCTGACCACCCATCCCGATTACCCCATTCACTGAATCAATACACCTCATAGAGGGTCTTCCCCTCCTATGCCATCCCGCCACCCTCCCAAGCATGATGTCTCTCTCCAAAGACCTGTCCCTCCTCACAACATGTCCAAAGTATGTCAGATGAAGCCCCAGAAGCCTTGCCTCCAAGTAGCAGCCTGGTTTAACTCTCTCTAAGATGAATCTGTTTGTTTTCTTGGCAGTCCATGATATATTCAATACTCTTCTCCAGCACCACATCTCAAAGGCATCAATTCTCCTTCTACCCTCCTTAGTCATTGTCCAACTCCCCGATGCATAACAAGTGTTTACAAAGACCATAGCCTGTATCAGAAACACCTTAGTCTCCAGAGTGACACCATTGCTCTTCAGTACCCTGGAGAGGTCCCTAACAGCGGACTTTCCCATCGCAATACGTTTTTTTAATTTCCTGGCTGCTGGTGCCAAGAGTGTTGACCGTGGAGCCAAGCAAACTAAAGTTGTTAACAATCTCAATCTCTTCACCATCCATCCTGATGCTGTCAATTGGTCCAGTGGTGAGAATCTTTGTCTTCTTGACATTAAGCCTCAATCCATACTGAATACTGCAGTCCTTGATCTTCTGCAGCAGGTGCATCAGGTCCTTCTCAGTTTCAGCAAGCAGGGTTGTGTCATCTGCATAACACAGATTGTTAACAAATTCTGATGCCACAATTCTCCTCATAGAGCCCAGCCTCTCTGATAATCTGTTCTACATACGGGTTGAAAAGGTATGGAGATAGGACACATCCCTGGTGTACACCTCTCCCAATTTTGAACCATGCAGTGTTTCCCTGCTCCATTCTGATGACTGCCTCTTGGTCCAAGTATAGGTTTAACATTAGCACGATCAAGTATTCTGGGATTCCCATTCATCTCCGAGTCAGCCACAGTTTGTTATGATCCACACAGTCAAACACCTTTGCATAGTCAATAAAACACAGATATACATTCCTCCGGTACTCCCTGCTTTCAGCTAAGATCCATCTAACATCAGCTACAATATACCTAGTACCACGGTGCCAGTCTGTGGTTAAATATACAAGAATATGATTTGCCAAAGATTACACAGTAACTTACGAGAAGAGTCATCACAACACTCCCAGTTCAAGGTCTTTGATTTGCTTTGCACAAGGAGAATTATTCATATGTTTAAAGCTGTCAAGTTGACAGAGGCTCTGGTGGCCTAATGGCAAGCTGCTGCACTGCAACCCCAAAGGCACATGATTCGAGCCCACCAGCTGCTCCACAGGAGAAGGATGGGCTATCTCCTCCCATGTGATTAACTGTCTCTGAAAATCCACTGCAGGGTCAGCTATGGGTCGGTTCTGACAAGATGGTACCCAACAACAACAATCATATTGAACAGCAAACAATTTGCCAAATCTTCTACTCAGCAATCTCTCTACCACATCATACAATCTTATCACCATACTGTATATAGTCTGAAGCCTTCTTTTGATATTTCTTTCAAACTCATATTCCTAACAGGTTCTTATGGGGTTCCCCCCCCCCTTTTCCTATTCTGGGCAATAATTCAACCCTACACATGAATCATAGAATATAGATAGATGCACTTCTCTTTAAAATACACCAGGCTTCATGGAAAATGCTTATGTCTGCTCTGAATTCCTTTTTATTGCAGGGCTACTTATAGGTGAGATCATGTCTACAGTTATGAGTCAGGAAGGCATCGACATCCTGACCCACCTCCCTAAGGGAAGTGCGGAGGCAGAGCTGATGAGTGTTGTTCCAGTTTTCTATGTCTTTCACTATCTGGAAGCAGGAAATAACTGGAACACTTTTTATCCTAACCAGAATGAGAAAAAGCAAAACCTGAAGAAGAAACTGAAAGATGGTAAAATATTTATTTCACATAAAATGTAGTTCTTTTTAAATGGATTTTTTCCAATGAAACTTGTCATGGATTATATTAAGGCCTTTGAGGGGGGAAGCCAACATATATAGGTACACCCATACATACTGTGAGGTGGTCTCTATTACATAAATACTATTTCTGTCACATTTGGTCTTAATTTATCAAAATGCCTGGATAAGAGACAAAACACCTGGATTCCATCTAATTCCTTTGAGAAGCTCAGTGCTGGCCACAGAACATGTACTAGGTGCTCAGGGCCAGAAGTTTACTGCTCACAGGGGCAGATGAAGACCTCCTGTGGTAGAAACACAGGTCAGTGAAGCGCTCTGTTCTTTCTCTGGTGTCTCTTAGGGATGGTGAGCATCATGTCCTACAGAAATGCAGACTACTCTTACAGCATGTGGAAAGGTGCAAGTCCTAGCACTTGGTAAGTGGAAAGCTTTGTCTTGAATTTTCATATAGCAGTTGATTTCTAGAACTCTATTAATAGTTTGAACTATAAAATAACAAAAATAATAGATATTCTATGATCCCAGGGTAATATATCTGGTCATGTTTCACTCTTCCAATCCATGTCTGATTTGAAAAATACTTCTTTGTTCAAAATATGCCCTGAGTTTTATGAGTTCTTACCAACTCCTGCCACACACTATTTTGGTCCAAGCACTCACGTGGATTAGTGCAATAGCCTTCTCTAGGTCTTTCTCTTCTCCGCTATACTTGTGCTGCTTTCATCTGTACTCTGTACAGCTTCCAGAGGAACTCTGATAAAGCAAATGTTGGGTTCACACTCAAAACCTTCCAAAGGGCTTCCACCTCACCCAGAATCAAAGCCAGACTTCTTGCTACAACTTACAGAGTCCTGCATCATGTCACTCCAGCTCTTTTCTAGTCTCATCCCTGCTACTCTTTAACTCTCTCATTCTTTGGAGTCCTGTAGGCCTCCTCACTGTTCCTAGAACACTCTAGGTGTGCTTCTACCTCAGGGCTTTTGCACAGGTTTTTCTCTCCTCTGTCTAGAATGTTTTCTGTGGGTTATTAACTTGGCTAGCTCCTTTACTTCCTTGGGTTTTACCAAAATTCACCTTTTCAATGAGATCCCTCATAAGTGTTCTGTCTAAAACGCCAACCCATTTTTACCCCAATATTTCATATCTTCTCCTACTTTCCTTTTACTCTTGTCACTAATATGCTTACTTATCTCGTATTGTCTGTTTTCCTCTCTAGAATGTAAGCAACTGGAGGTTGGCTCCAAATAGGTCTTTGTCCTTAATACATGCCTAACACATAGTAGCTTTAAGGAAGTGTAACATCCTATATTAAAAAGATTTGAGGAAAATAATACATTAACTCAAGTTAATACCTCTCTCTCTCTCTCTCTCTCTCACACACGCACACACACACACACACACACACACACACTGCTATCACTGTTACTGAACACAAGAGGTTCCTTCCGTAGTCAATTCCCAGGAAGACAGATGGATTGCAATATCTGAAGCACTTTATGATAGATCTGAGAAAGCAGAGAGAATCTTCAAAATCTGCCTTCCTATCTAAGAGTTGTCATTGAATTGTTACAGTTACTAGTTAAAAAAAAGCTTGTGATATAGTTTACATGACTGAGAAAAGCATCTTCAAAGAGATAAATGTTAATTCAATTACATATAACTGAGAAAAACCATCTTCAAAAAGAGAAATACTAATGCAGAGAAGAAATACTTAAGCCTGAGAAAAATTGTTTCAAAGAGTTAAGGACAAAATCCAGGGAAGATGTCTTTTTCCCTCACTAGTAAACAAACAATTTAAAGTACTTTACATGACTAATGAAAGAAAAATAGAATTCTAGGGCAAAGCAACCAGTTTTGCAGGCTGGAAGCAACTGATGTCAGTTTTACAACTATACTAACTGACATGTTTGAATAATCCTGAATTCATTAACTCTGTCATCACAACAGAACAAACTGAAGCTCCTTTGCGTTTACTAAGCTATAAATTATGCAGAAATAAATTGCCCATTTTTCCCCTCAGAGTCACTGGTCTTATCTGACTTTAAAAAATTTTTTTAAAAAGATATTTTACTGGTTTGCATACAATAATTTGTTTATATTGTTTTTCATTCAAGCACAATATTGGGGGTTTTATGCTCCGTCTTTCCACCCACCAAACTCTGTGACCCTGTGCCTACCCTGTTTTTGATAAAATATTTAATCAAACCCCATAATGTATCATATATTTTGTAGACTTCCTTACTTAAAACAAATTAGAGGAGTTTGTAACCTAAAATTACCTCATTTTATTATGCCCTTAATTTTTGTTTTCTATTTTTTTAAATTTTATATTGGTTTGCTTACAATGTTTGCATACACTGTGTTTCACATTATTCTTCATTCTTATGTGGTGTTTCATACAATCATTCCATGCATTATTGTTGTTATTGTTGTTGTTGTTTTGTGCTGTTGAGTTGCCTGAGACTCATAAAAGTAATCACCACTGGACCTTGCCCATCATTGCCCTTTCTTTTCAGGTCCTTAATTTTAAGTTAAGTACTGGGAGCACCCAGCCTATCTTCCTTTCTGTAACCTGGGTTTATACAATCTCATGTTTGCTCATAACTTCTGTGTTGATGTCTCTTCCAAGCTTCGGATTCACATTTCTAAGTGTCTAGAAGCCAAGGATGCTTCAAACACAATCTGTAGCAAAATAATTCATTTATTCTTCTGGTTCTATTCTCCTCAATTCCCTTAATCAAATGCACAGCAATCTTCTACACTTATTCCACCTTTTAACCAAGTCAGACTTGTCATTTGATTTACAACTTCTCTCTTTCTCTCTTAGTCTATATCCAATCAGTGACCAGATCTCACAGATTGTTCAAGTTCAGAACCCTGGGTGGTGTGATTTTATTTTTTGGTGTGTTTTTTTTTTTTATTTTGTGTGTGTGTACCATCAAATCAGATCTGACTGGCACAGGAGGAGATTACTCCTTCTTCTCCAGTAGAGATTTGAACCATGCACCTTCAAGATTGCAGTGCAGCTTCTTGCCACTAGGCCACCAGAACTCCCTAAAGTGGTGTATTTTAAGACATGAAGACCCCTGGAGCATGGCAACTAGCAGCTAACAATCAGGGAACAATAGAGGAGTGGTGTTGATGTGACCTAGAAGCTACCACACTAGAAACTGGGAATAGAAGCAGGGGAGAATGGGACATGCTGCCACCCCCATGAGAAAGTGGGGCAGCCTCCCCATAAATATCGAGCCCTTTAAGAGTTTTGGGAAAACACTGAGAGGATTGTGCTCAGGAAGAAAAAGAGAAACACTTGAGTACTGATCTAGCCCCAACACCACTAATTTGTGGAGATAAATACACATAATATAAACTGGGAAGTGTTTGAATAACTTTTTTTTTCCCTTCTGAGAACGAAAAGGATTTTAAGGAGCCTGGTGGCATTGTACATAACATATGGGGGCTGCTAACAGAAATTTCACCTGTTCAAATCCACTAACTGCTCTGTAGAAGAAAGCTGAGCAATCTCATATAAAGACTTCTGCTGGATAACCTGACGGAAGGTTGCTAAGAAGTGATACTGACTCAGTGGCAGTAAGTTACAGGAGAGTTACCAAAAAATAGTCCAAAAAATGTCTTATTAGCAAATGCCAAAATTAATAACACTGAACCTTTTTCACATTAGCCTAGTCCTTTTATTTTTTTTTAAAGAAAGAAAAGATTTGAGATACAGTTCCATTTTCCCCTTTAGCCACAGGTCATCTTATTCCTGTTTCTTCTTCCCCAAGGGAATTCACTATTTTGAGTTTGTGCCTCCTTCCAGTGTGGAGGGAGATTTTCCATACTTTGGGATTTAAAATAAAAACAACAACAAAAAAAACCCAAACAACCTTTACTTTTTTTTAGTAGTCTTTTCTTTTATTTTACACTGATTTATTTACAAAGTTTGAATACATTGTTTTCCCCAAAAGATCCTTCCCATTTCCTTCACTCCACCCACCCATCAAATTGTGCAACCCTATGATCAACACCCTTGCCTCACCCCTCTGTTTCCACCCTCCCCACCCCTTTGGATCCTCATACTCATTCTACAATTGTTAACCTTTACTTTTGCATCTTAAAAAATTAATTTATTTTGGGATTTAAAAAATAGTTTGCTTTTGTTTTTGTTGTTGTTGAGGTATACACAGCAATGAAGTATATATACCAGTTCAGCAGCCTCTATAAATACAGTCAGTTTCAGGGCATTCATTACATTCTTTAAGTAATGCAACCAATGTCACCCCCCTTTTTCAAATTATTTCTTCTCCATTGATGTAATTTCATTCCGCTTAGGTTTTTTTTTTCACTCTGTGAGTTGTCATTATCAGTTTGATCTTATATAGATTGTTGTTGCTGTTGTTATATGCTGTGGAGTAGGAATCTACTCATAGTTGACCGTCCAGCAGGTTTACAGGGCTGTATGTTGCACAGGAGAAGAATGGCCATCTTTCTCCTGTGGAGCATCTGGTGGATTTGAACTACTTGCCTTTGTATGGGCAGCACAACTCCTTACTCACTAGAGCAACAGTTGTTACATGCTGTTGAGTTGCCTGTGACCCATAGCCACCCTATAGCTCTGTCATATTTAGATAGTTCTGTGAAAAACTACAATGCTCGAGAGAGATAGTCTTTACTAATTAAACTATTGTTTGGCTTAAAGGAGACTCAGGAATATTTTCCATTTAAAGTTTAGGCTTTAAAGATTATTTCAAGGCAATAATTCTAGGAGTTCATCCAGCCTCAATCCTTTTGGATTTTTTTATCATATGAGATTTTCCTCTTAAAAAAAAGGAACTTAAGAATAAAGTAAAATTTGCAATTTTTTTTTAACTAAGGGAAAGTGAAGGAGGGAGGAAGGGGAGGCCAAGTGGACTGGATTTCAGAGGCATTTAGAGAATCTGGAAAGAGAGATCTTGGGAAGCTTGAGTGAATGAGAGAGTAGGAGGAGAGAACAGACCGAGAAGAAACACTGTTGGGGCTATGAAGCGGATTCTCTCTGTTACTTGAGAGATATTCACAGAAATAAACCTTCCTTGTTTCCTCTCTCCTCAGTCTTAAAGTGTGTGTGTGTGTGTGTGTGTGTGTGTGTGTGTGTGTGTGTAAAACTCTGAAATGTTTCTGGAAGTACCATACAAATAAAAGCCAATAGTAATGAAAGATGGAATACCAATTGACAAGTTGCAACTAACAGATACAACCCTGGATTTGTCCAGCAGTTTATGTCAGGAAATTTGGAAGACAGCTGCATAGCTGGCTGACTGGAAGAGATCTATATTTATTCCTGTTCCCAAGAAAGGTGATCCCACAGAATGTGGAAATTATCAAACAATGGCATTAATATCACAGGCAAGCAAAATATTACTGAAGATTATTAAAAAATGGCTAGAAGAGTATATTGGCAGGGAATTTGCAGAAGTTCAAGCCGGGTTTAGAAGAGGCAACAACACCAGGGATATTATTGCTGATGTCAGATGGATCCTGGCTAAAAGCAAAGAAGAATGTCTATTTGTGTTTTATTGACAATGAAAAGGAATTTGATTATTTGGATACCAGATCACTTAATTGTGATCATGAGAAATCGATACCTAGATCAAGAAGCTGTTGTCCAAATGGAACAAAGCAACACAATGTGGTTTAAAATCAGGGAGAGTATGCATCAGAGTTGTATCTTTTCTACAGAGCTCAGTTGGCATAATGGACAGAAAGTGATGCAATGAGGCCAAAGGTGGGTGATTTTAACCTGCAGTCCTCAGGCCTGGTTTTAATTGATTTTGGTCAAACATTCTTCTAAGTGGTATAGCACTGTTCTGTCCATTTGCTGTACAGAGGTAACTAGTGGTTGCTGTGGTGCTGAACACTGTGACATTGATGTGTCAAATGTGAAAATGATCACCCATGGTTGACAGTGTTTGGTGGAACTCCTCGATTAAAACAAGCTTAGAAGCAGGAGTGGCATCCACTTCCGAAATAGAAACCACTTGCTTCAAAAAACCCTATGAACCTAGAGAAACGATGAAAGTTATACAAGTGTTCAGGTCTTTTGTTCATAGGGGCACTATGAGTTATCTATGACTCAACACACTTAGCAACATTTTTTTAAACTGGCAAAATATTTTTAAAACTATACTAGTTTATTTACAGAATTCAAATACACTGTTTTCCAGAACAGATTCTTCCAATTTCCCTCGCCCCCCACCCATCAAATTGTACAACTCCATGATTAATCTGCCCTTCCCCTACACAACCTCATCCCTCTGCTTCTACCTCCTCCCTACCTTGGATCCTTATACTCATTCTACAATAATGGTTTTGTACAATATTTGTCCTTGTGGAACTTAGTTCGCTCAGAGTACCTATTTAATCTGTACGCTGAGCAAATAATTAATGAAGCTGGACTCTGTGAAGAGAAATGCCACATCAGGATCGGAGGAAGACTCGTCAATAACATGAATCATGAAACACTTGCTGCAGAAGATCAAGGACTACAGCTTTCAGTATGGATTACATCTCAACATCAAGAAAACAAAAGTTCTCACCACAGAACCAATAGTGAACATTATGATAGTTGGAGAAAAGATTGAAGCGGTCAATGATTTAATCGTGCTTGGATCAACAATTCACACTGTTGGTAATCAGTAGTCAGGAAATCAAGAGATTTATCACATTGGGTAAGTCTGCTGTCAGGGACCTCTCCAAAATGCTGAATAGTAGTGGCATCAGTTTGAAGATTAAAGTGCACCTGATTCAGGCCATGGTCTTCTCAATCACCTGCTATGCATCAGAAAGCTGGACAATGACTAAGAATGATAGGAGAAGAACTGATACCTTCAAGTTGTGGTGCTGGAGAAGCATCTTGAACATACCATGGACTGCCAAGAAAACAAATAGGTCTATCTTAGAGAGGTTGAAACTAAGTTTCTCCTTGGAGGCTAGGAATTTTTGAAACTTCGTTTCACATACTTTGGGCACATGGCCGAAAGGGACAAGCCTTGGAGAAGGACATCATGCTCGAAAGTGGGGAGAGACAGCACAGGAGAGGAAAATCCCAGATGCAATGGATTGATAAAGTTAACTAGGGCTGTGGGGGTAGGTGTGTTGGAGTCAATGAGACGGACTCAGGGCAGGGTTCAAGGCTCCTGTACAGTGGGTCACGATGAGTCACAGAGGACTCAATGGCACATAACAACAACAACACACACACACTCTCTCTCTCACACACACACACACACACACACACCCCAATTCATTGCTGTTCATATGGAACAGACTCAGAGCTGACCTCCAGTGGGTTTTCAGAGACTATAAATCAACAGGAAGAGATTGTTCATCTTTCTACCACGGACAAACTGGTGGATTTGAACCATGTGCCTTTGGGTTGACAGTGCAATTCCTTATCCACTAGGCCACCAGAGCCCTCTCGTATGTGTTAGGAAACATTTTTAGTTTGTGTAATGCTAACAATGTCATCACCACTGAATAATTCCACATTTAGTCAGTAACAATGACCAAACCTTTCAAAGATTTTCCTAAAATCTTTTCCTGATAAAAAGGCAACAATGTGCTTTAAATTATGTTTTTATGTTTTACTTTCTTGAAAAAAAAGTATATGGGCTCAAATACTTTGTAAATTGAAATCCAAAGGAGATTCAGTGTTTAAATATTTATTTAATATTTCTCTTACAGGTTAACTGCTTTTGCTCTAAGAATAATTGGGCAAGTAAATAAATATATAGAACAGAAACAAAATTCAGTTTGTAATTCTTTATTATGGCTAGTGGAAAAATGTCAATTAGAAAATGGATCTTTCAAGGAACATTCCAAGTATCAAGCAGTAAAACTACAGGTAAGAAAATCAAGTGTACAGAGTAGCAGAAGTTATATTTATAGCTTTAAGTTTAATTTTCCTTACTTTGGGAAAAATGAAGACACAAGGGAGAGGATGCAATCCTCCAAGAAGCTCTTCGCATGTGCAATGAAAGAATATAAATGGCCTTTTCTACTGTTATCTGACCAATCGGCATAGGTCAAATAAAGTAATATCATAGCCATTTCACTTGGCAGTTAACTTGTGGTTTATAGGGAGTTGAGATATCAGAATGAGTAAAATATGTTCATTTATCCCTTTACTCTTGGTACAGAATCTGTGCAGAGACTTCTTAAAGATCAAAGTTACATGGCACTGTCATGAAAGATGAAACCTTATTTACACTCCCTTGCTGACATGTTGCTCTTTCATTAGCACTTTATAGTATTATCACTAGTAATACTATTATTACTACTAGTAAGTGAATACTTACTAATAGGTACTAAGTAGATGCTGACACATAGTAGTAAACAAACAGATGTGGTCATTGAAATCACATTGAGCTTACAGTATAGCAAGGAGATTAGACATAAAACAAGTCCTTTCAAGTGTGTGACATACAATAAGGAAAGAAAAAGATGATTGTGTGGAGAGTGAGGAATCTAATCTAGATTGCAAGAGTTGGGAAAATGAGTTTGCCAAGCTTCTGGGATGTGAGCAGGTGTGAGACAGGAAGAGTTTGCTCCAAACAGAACAAACAGCACGTCTGGCATTTTGAAGTGGAGAGAATGTGACTCACTCACAAAACGGAGCCAAGAGAGCTAGAAAGTGAACAGCATGAAATGAAGCTGGAGAGGTAAATAGAGGTCATTTTGTGCAAGGTCTTTCTTTTTTTAATTGTTGTTGTTGTTGTTGTTATGTGCCATCGAGTCGTTTCCGACTCATAGCGACCCTATGCACAACAGCCCTAAACCCTGCTCTATCCTGCGCCAACCGCACCACCTCTGACACACCCATCCCGATTACCCCAGTCACCAAATCAATCCATCTCATAGAGGGTCTTCCCCTCCTGCGTTGTCCCTCAACCCTCCCAAGCATGATGTCCCTCTCCAAGGACCCATCCCTCCTGGCAACATGTCCAAAGTATGTCAGACGAAGCCCCAGAATCCTTGCCTCCAAGGAGTAGCTTGGTTTAATCCTCTCCAAGATGAATCTGTTTGTTTTCCTGGCAGTCCAGGGTTCATTCAGTACCCTTCTCCAGCACCACAGCTCAAAAGCATCCACTCTCCTTCTGTCCTCCCTAGTCATTGTCCAACTCTCTGATGCATAACAAGCGATTGCAAATACCATGGCCTGTATCAGGCGCACCTTAGTCTCCAGAGAGACACTGTTGCTCCTGAGTACTTTAGAGAGGTCCCTAACAGCAGACTTTCCCATCGCAATATGCTTTTTGATTTCCTGACTGCTGGTGCCAAGAGTGTTGACTGTGGAGCCGAGCAAACTGAAGCTGTGAACAATCTCAATCTCTTCGTCATCCATCCTGACGCTGCCAATTGGTCCAGTGGCGAGAATCTTTGTCTTCTTGACATTGAGCCTCAGTCCATACTGAAGGCTGCAGTCCTTGACCCTTCGCAGCAAGTGCATGAGGTCCTCCTCAGTTTCAGCAAGCAGGGTTGTGTCATCTGCATAACGGAAATTGTTACTAGACCTTCCACCAATCCTGATGCCACAATTCTCCTCATAGAGCCCAGCCTCTCGGATTCTTTTTTTAATAGTATTGCCAAAAGAGGTCAAATATTTGTAATCAAAAGACAAATATTGTTTCAAAAGACAGATACTGTTTCATAGAGGTGGAAGCATTTTTATTCTTGAAGGAGGAAGAGGAGGAGAACTTAAAAGTGGTACGGAAACATAAAGTAGGGCTGAAAGCAGGAACAAGTGGAGGCGTGAAAGTGAGAAAGATTTAGAGCCAGTCTGAGAAACAGCAGTGCATGAGTGGAAGAGTAGGGGATAAAGCTCAAAGGAGAAATTAGAATTAAGTTGTTTCACTTAAAAAAAAGTTGTTTCACTTTTTTAAAACCACTGTTTTCACTCTCTATTTTCAACTCTGCTTGTTTCAGGGTACCTTGCCTTTTGAAGCTCAACAGAACACCTTGTATCTTACAGCCTTCACTGTTATTGGAATGAGAAAGGCTTTTGATATATGCCCCTTGATGGTACGTAAACATTTTCTCTCTATACGCGTTGTTTACTTCTAGTGTACCCAACAATCACAAGATACTTCATTTCAGCTGCTTCTTTTTCTTCTTTTCATTTTTCTTGAAAAGAACTAACTCACGAATCAAAGGATTTCAGAGCTATGATGGAAATTATTCATTATTAATAGACCACTATTCTGTAGTCTACTAATTATGTAATAGCTTTATGAAAATATCTGAAATACTGTGAGGATTACCAAAATGTGACAGTCACATAGCACATGATGTCAGAAAAATTATGCCAATAGACTGTTTAACCTAAGGTTGCCACACACCTTCAGTTTTTAAAAACCCAACAAACCTGCAGTATCTACACAGCATGATGAATAAAATAGGTATGTCTATATTATGAAACCACTGAAGATCTGTGTTAGCTTCATTAACTTGCACTGTTTAATTTGTCTGGTAGGTGAAACAGGAGAGGATTTACCTACATGAATCAAAATAGAAGATTCCAAAAGTTGATGCAGATGGTACCTTCATCAGGGAAGAGTTAAAGTCCTGAGCTTGTTGTGTGCTGTCAAGTCAATTCCAGTTCATAGTGACCTTGCAGGACACAGTAGAACCACCCATAGTGTTTCCTTGGCTGAAATCTTTACAGGAGCAGGTCACCAGGTCGTTTCATCCGTGAAGTGGCTTGTGGGTTTACATCTCAGACCCTTTAGCTGGTATCAGAGTAACCATTATACCATCAGGGCTACCTGCTACAAATCAGAACTTAAATGAATATGTCCTTTAAGACAAGATAGAGAATTGAAATGGGAAAAATAAAGGGGGTTTGTAGGACTTTAACAAAAAAAAAAAAACCAACCAAAAACAATTCTTTTGTATGTTTGTTTCAAGATAATTGGTTTTTATACTGATAAAACAAAAAGTCAAAGAGAACCAGTGGAAGGGGGTGGGGGAGAGGCAGTGCTAGAGCGTCACGTGATTGAGAAACCCAGATGAACTGAGAGTAGAGGATCCTGGCAAGATGTTGAAGCCTTGAAAGAGAGGCTTCCTCCTAATCCACTTATCCAGATCTTTTCACAGATCACTCAGAACTGGGAAGTTGGGACTATTTTTCCTGGAGTTCTTAGGATCAAAAAGTGGTTGGGCAACTTTTGTTGTTGTTGCTATGTGCTGTCGAGTCACTTGCAACTCATAGCAACCCTATGTACAACAGCTCTATACCCTGCTCTATCCCTTGCAAATCCCATTGTCACACCTATCCCCATTACCCCCGTGGGGGAATCAATCCATCTCATAGAAGGAAGACTCTCCTGTACTGTCCCTCCACCCACCCAAGCATGACATCCCTCTTTAAGGACTGGTCCCTTTTTGCAACATGTCCAAAGTATGTCAGACAAAGCTTCAGAATCCTTGCCTCCAAGGAGCAGCCTGACTTCACCCTCTCCAGGACGAACTTGTTTGTTCTCCTAGCAGTATATGGTATATTCAGTACTCTTCTCCAGCACCAAAGCTCAAAGGCATCAATTCTCCTTCTATCATCCCTAGTCATTGTCCAGCTGTCTGATGTATAGCAAGTAATGGCAAAGACTATGGCCTCTAACAGGGGCACCTTAGTCTCCAGACTAACATCGTTGCTCCTCAGTACCTTGGAGAGGTCTCTGACAGCAGACTTTCCCAATGCAATTCATCTTTTAATTTCCTGGCTGCTAGTACCAAGAGTGTTGGTTGTAGAGCCAAGCAAACTGAAGCTGTCAACAGTCTCAATCTCTTTACCATCTATCATGATGCTGCGAATCAGCTCGGTGGTGAGAATCTTTGTTTTCTTGACGTTGAGCTTCAATCCATATTGAAGGCTGCAGTCCTTGACCTTCTGCAGCAGGCACCTCAGGTCCTCAGTTTCAGCAAGCAGGGTTGTGTCAACTGTATAACACAGATTGTTGAGTCTACATCCAATCCTGATGCCACACTTCTCCTCATAGAGCCCAGCCTCCCAGATAATCTGTTCTGCATATAGTTTGAAAATATATGGAGATAGGACACATCCTTGACCCACACTCTTCCCAATTTTGAACCATGCAGTGTCTCCTTGCTCAGTTCTGACGACTGCCTCCTGGTCCAAGTATAAGTTTCGCGTAAGTACAATCAAGTGTTCTGGGATTCCCATTCTTCTAAGAGTCAGCCATGGTTTGTTGTGATCCACATACTCAAATGCCTTTGCATAGTCAATGAAACACAGATAGGCTTTCTTAATACTCATTGTGGTATTTTTCTCAAAGCTCCTTTTGAAGCTATGCATGGAGAGGAGGTTGAAAGTCAGACAGTGCTGAGCACTGTGTTTTCTGGAGGTTAGTTCCAATGCTAGTAGCAAAAACTAAAAAAGGAGAAAACCTCTAGAGAGGAAAAAAACCACGTAACCCTCTTTCGACAACCACATTTTCCCTTCAGAGACCTCACTCAACTTGTCTTGGAAAATTGTATTTCAGGGAGATGTCATTCCATTAAGTAGGTCATCTTTCCCCCTTCATCTTGCCCATGATTGTGCAGTGGAGGAATATTTTGTGTCAGCTGGTTTAATGCTTGCCAAGGAAACTCAGGGTTCTTCTGCTCTTTTTTCCAGAAAATCAGCACGGCTCTCACTAAAGCAGATAACTTTTTGCTTGAAAATACCCTTCCAGCCCAGAGCACCTTCACACTGGCCATTGCTGCTTATGCTCTTTCCCTGGGAAACACAGCTCACAGCCAAATGCGTTCAATTGTTGGAGCCCTGAAGAAGGAAGCTTATGTAAAAGGTATGACTTGCTCCATTCACTTATATTCAGCAAACAGTCATTAAGCATTTGCTGTGGTGGTAATGGTGTTGATGTTGTGTGCTAGCTCGCAGTTGACCGACCCTCCAGAGAGTTTTCAGAAGCTATAAATTGCACTGAAGGAGATTTGCTGTCTTCCTCTTGGAAGTATATGATGTTGTTGTTTTGTGCTGTCGAGTTGGAGCTGACTCATAGCTGATCCTCTAGCTGTAAGCTCTGGTTTTCAGAGGAAGTAAATCACACTGGAGGAAAGTGTATGTATTTCTCCCATGGAGCAGCTGATGGATTTACCTGTGTGCCTGTAGGTTGGCAGGGCAGCACCTTACCACTAAGCCACTAGAGCTCCCTAAGTATATGTTGTTGTTGTTGTTGTTGTTGTGTACCATCAAGGTGGAACCGACCCATAGCTGACCCTCCATTGGCTTTCTGAGAAACTGTAAATTGCACAGGAGGAGACAACCTATCTTTTTTTCCCCAATGGAGTCGCTGGTCTGGTGGAATCAAACAGCCAGAGAGGTGCAGACTTTTCTTCTTATATTTTAAAAAATTTTCTATTGGTTTGCTTACATTGTGTTTCATACAATCATTTTGATTCATTGTATTTTATAAAATTAACCAACATTAAACTATGCCACCATCGCCCTGTCTTTCCAGAGTCCCACTGGATCTTTCCCATTTCCTTTATCAACTTCTCCATCCATCAAATTGTTCAACCTTATGATATCCCCTCTTGCCCATCTTCACCCCTCTGCTCCTCCACTCCACTTCTTGGATCCTCATTTACATTTTACTAGTTATTTTACTATTTCTACAAAAATGGTCTCATATCGTATTTGTCCTTATGGAACTGAGTTAGTTCACTCAGCATAATACTCTCCAGTCCCTCTCAGGTTATGTAGTAATTTTTGTAGTACTCTTGAGTGCTGTGAAGTATTCCGTTGTGTGAATGTACCACAGTTTCTCAATCCACTCAATTGTGGTTAAATATTTGGGTTGTTTCCATGTTATTGCAATGGTGAATAATGCTGCTATGAACAATGGTGTACAGATCTCCATTTGTGTCTCAGTCTTAATTTTCTCAAGGTATATTCCAATTGGCAGCATTATGATAGATGATGAAGAGATTGAGATTGTTAACAGCTTTAGTTTGCTTGGCTCTACAATCAACACTCTTGGTATCTGCAGCCAGAAAATCAAGAGATTAATTGCATTGGAAAAGTCAGCTGTCGGGGACCTCTCCAGAATACTGAAGAGCAACAATATCAGTCTGTGGACTAAGGTGTACCTGATCCAGACCACAGTCTTCTCAACTGCTTGCTATGCATCATAAAACTGGACAATAACTAGGGTTGATAGAAAGAGAATTGATGCCTTTGCGCTGTGGTGCTGGAGAAGTGTTGAATATACCGTGGACTCCCAGGAAAATAAATAGGTTTGTCCTAGAAAGGGTGAAACCAAACTGCTCCTTGGAGACATGGATTCTAAGGCTTTGTCTAACATACAAGGAACTGTCTTTGGAGAGGAACATCATGCTTGGAAGAGTGGAGGGACAGAGAAAGAGAGGAAGACCATCAATGAGATGAATTGATTCAGTGACTAGGGTAATGAGGGTAAGTGTATCAGAGACAGTAAAGTTTGCACAGGACAGAGCAGGTTTCAGGGCTATTTTACATAGGGTTGCTATTAGTCACAAACAACTCAACAGCACATAAAAACAACAACAACAAATTTTCCAATGAGTGGAATAGTTGGAACACATGGAATTTCTATGTTCAGCTCTTTGAGGAAATGCCAAACTTCCTTCCAAAGTGGTTGTACCATTTTTCAATCCCACAAGCAGTGTATGAGAGTTCCTATCTCTCCACATCCTCTCCAACATTCATAACTTAATGTCCTGTTAAACTTTGCCACTAATACTGGGATGTTGTTGTTGTTGTTGTTTTGTGCTACCGAGTCGTTTATGACTCATAACAACTTTATGTACAACAGCCCTAAACCCTGCTCTGTCTTGTGCTAATCGCACTGTCTCCAACACACCCACTCCCATTACCCCAGTCTCCGAATCAATCCACCTTATAGAGGGTCTTCCCCTCTTGCGCTCTCTGTCCACCCTCCCAAGCATGATGTCCCTCTCAAAGGATCGGTCCCTCCTTACAACATGTCCAAAGTATGTCAGACAAAGCCTCAGAATCCTTGCCTCCAAGGAGCAGCCTGGTTTAACCTTCTTCAGGATGAATCTGTTTGTTTTCCTAGCAGTCCATGGTACATTCAATACTCTTCTCCGGCACCACAGCTCAAAGGCATCAATTCTCCTTCCATCCTCCCTAGTCATTGTCCAAATCTCTGATGCATAACAAGTGATTGCAAAGACCATGGCCTGTATCAGATGCAAGTTAGTCTCCAGAGAGACACCATTGCTCTTCAGTACTTTGGAGAGGTCCCTAACAGCAGACTTTCCATCACAATACATCTTTTAATTTCCTGGCTGCTGGTACCAAGAGTGTTGATTGTGGAGCCAAGCAAACTAAAGCTGTGAACAATCTCAATCTCTTCACCATCCATCCTGATGCTGCCAAATGATCCAGTGGTGAGAATATTATCTCATTGTGGTTTGGTTTTTTAAAAATTTTTATTGTATTATTTTTACATGTACCGTCAAATCAGATCTGACTGGTACAGGAGGAGATTGCCCCCTCCTTCTCCAGCAGAGCATCTGGTGGATTTGAACCGTGTATTTCTGGGATTTTTTTTTTAATTTTATTTTTTTGTTTTGTTTTGTTTTTGCATGTAAACCTTTTTTTTCTATAATTATATTTTATTAATTTTTATAAACATTTACAGAGATTTGGGGTTTCCATTCATTCATTGTTGCACTATTCTCTCTACCCTCCTCCCAGTTTGTTCTTGTCCAAATGCCACAGTGCTTGTCAAAGCCAGTTCTGATTAATCTTCTTTGTCAGTGTGTCCTTTGCCATTCCCTATCACTCCTCCCTGAGAGAGACTTCACCCTGAGTCATAAGGAAAAGGGGATGGCGTATTCTCTTAGCTACTTCCTGCTGAAAAGGGACGCTGTGGGTTTCAGGGTGAAGATCTTCTCTCACTACTCTAAAGGGCCCCTTTGGCAGTAGGAAACACATAGACTATTATGGAGATTGATTTTGGAATTTAGATGCACTCTTATTGATTGTGCTTGGCCATACATGTTCATATCCTTGAAGATGTATCATGGGGGTGTTGCAACCTAGAAGACACAAATTTGACTAACAAGTTATAAGTACATGAGTCAAAAAATTATGGAAAAGTAAAAGAAAAGATTCTTTCATTGTTTTACAAACCCTCCCCCAGGTCCCCTCCACCATGTAGCCCTCGCTCTAGACTCCTGTCATGACAGAAATACCTAGTCATATATCTCTTTTAAACAGTTTTCTCCCTCCTCTGTTTCAGTGCAGTATACATTATTAAACCCATCTTACTCAGTCTCTCCCCAACCCCAAGGACAGTCCCATTCTACAACAGTGGCATCATGTAATATTTGTCCTTTTGTGACTGGGATATTTCACTCAGCATAACGTTCTCCAGAGTCAACCATTTTGAATAATATTGCATGAGTTCCTTGTTTTTTAATGCAGCATAGTATTCCATTGTGCGAATATACCACAGCTTCTCTAGCCATTCGTTTGTTGATGGGCACTTAGGTTGTTTCCAACTCCTTGCTATTGTGAACAAAGCTGCAATAAACATGGGTGTGCATATATCTGCTTGGATGTCAGCTATGGTCTCTTCAGGGTATATTCCCAGTAGTGGAATTGCTGGGTCAAATGGTATCTCTATTTGAAACTTTTTGAGAAAGCGCCATACTGCTTTCCACGGGGGTTGCACCATTTTACACTCCCACCAACAGTGAATCAGCGTTCCAGTTTCTCCACAACCTCGCCAGCATTTGTTGCTTGCTGTTCTGTTAAATTTTGCTATTTTGACTGGGGTGAAATGATATCTCATGGTTGTTTTAATTTGCATCTCTCTTAGGGCTAGGGATTTTGAGCATTTCTTCATGTGTTTGTTAGCCATCTGAATGTCGTCTTCGGTGAAGTGCCTTGAACCGTGTATTTCTGGGATTGCAGTACAGCGTCTTACCACTAGGCCACCAGAGCTCCCTCATTGTGGTTTTGATTTGCATCTCTCTTTTTGCCAATCATTGCCAGTGATTTTGAGCATTTGTGCATGTGGTTGTTGAGGCGCAGAGTTTTGATTAGCAACATATCACCACCAGAGCTTCAAATTCACCTAAAAGATGCTTGATGAGTCAGTGGGAGTTCTAGGACTTGGACTTCCACTTCATGTGAGAGAAGAAGCCATTGAAAAGTATTAAGCAAATGAGTGTCTAGCTTAGTTTATATCATATCAGTTTTGCTGTAAAGGTTTGCATTTCATTTTGAAGAGTAAAGACATTACTTTCTAAATGTCAGGAGTAAAGAATGAGAGAAAAATTATGGTTATTGGATGGTGTGTCTGACTCAGGGAGTTCTGATGGTGTAATCCTCAGCAAATCTCATGGCTAACCAAAGGCTGTACCCCTCTGCTGGTTCCAGCCCACCAGTGCCTTGGAGTGAGAAGGATGGAAAATCTCCTCCTATGAGATTTAAAGCCTCCAAAAATTCAGTGAAGGGTCAGCTATGAGTCAGTTCCTACGTAACAGCAATGGGTTTGAGTTTTATGAGATCTGAGTGCCTAAATCAGTACAGCCATAACTGGCAACTTCCGAGCCATCTCTAGCCTAAGATTATATTTTTAAGTTTTATAAATCTTACATGACTCTTAAAACTGTCTTTAAAATTTGACTTCTGTCATAATTTTAAAGTTGCTCAATCTTAACATATATCTCAAAATGACTTGGACAGTACTTTTAAAAACAATACAAAAGGAACATCTTGGGTATTGTAAGTTATGGAACACAAAAATCAAGAATTTAAGAGCTAGAAGAACGCATAAGATAATAAAAAATGTTTGAGCTGGCAATGCCTTCAAAGGTCAAATCAAAACTCTTATTTTAAATGTAAGAAATCAGAGTCTTTCAGAGGCAGAGCATTTGTTCAAAAACACGCAAATGATGTAGTTATGAATTTTAAGCAGATACATCAATATTTTTACTAACCTCAATAAATTATTTACAAATATATTTTACTGTTTTAAAAATTTTTAATATGATTTGTTTAAAAAGGCAGCTATAAAATACTAGAGCAAATTTAATAATTACACAATTTAGGCATAATTTAGAACATAAGTTATGAAAAGCACCTGCATATATGAAATTGCCTTTTGTATTTCTTCTAGTTGGGAGACCACAATAAAAGATTGAATTTAAATTTAGTATAATCTCAGAATTTCTAAGACTTTTTTCCCCCATAAGGGACAAAATTTCTGTCAGTATAGTAATAATTCTCTATAAATATCTAGTGCTGTTTGTTTTTGTTTTTAACAAAAACTCACATTACTGTGTCATTAGGGCACTCTGGTGGCCAAGTAATAAAAAGCTGCGTTGCAATTCCAAAAGCACACAGTTCGAGTCTACCAGCTGCTCCACTGAAGTGGGCAATCTCCTGCGTGCAATTAACTACCTCTGAAAACTGGCTGGAGTGTCAGCTAGGGGACCAGGTCCAACTCAATAAATAGCACACAACTACAAAAACCAACACTGCATCATTTAAGTCTTACTACAAGGAAAAACTATTCTTTTCAGTTTAAATATTATGAAACTGAGACCCACAGAACTAAAGGGCCCTGCAGAAGGACACAGGACCAGTTAAGGGAGACAGGACTAAAACCTGACGTAATAATTCCCAGTTTATGGTACTTTTCACTCTATGTACTTCTCTTTAGAGTGTGCTTACCTTCCACACAGGCTCTTGTAAAGCAAAGATAAACAGATCTCTACTATTGAATCTTGTTTTGTATACTCGTGCTAAGGAAGTTACAAAAAATAAAAAAAAAAAACTTCTAGGAAGCCTGAAGTCTGTAAGATACTCACTAGAATTATTATATCAAATCCACATTTTCTATCATGTTAACAAATATGTTTTGTTAATGTCCAGGCAATGGACCTGTTTATCGTTTTTGGAAAGGCGATCTTAAGAGTGAAGACAGCTCTGTACCTAACATGGGAACAGCACACATGGTAGAAACCACGGCTTATGCTTTACTCACGTGCCTGGCCTTGAAAGAGATAAATTATGCTAACCCAGTCATCAAATGGTTGTCCGAAGAGCAGAGGTATGGAGGCGGCTTTTATTCTACTCAGGTAATAATTCTTAGCCTTGTTTCCCCCTTAGCCATTTTTACTGTCTCCCACCACACATTCCATGTTTATTCTAGTCTCCTTGCTAGATAGATACCCACCAAACGAGCATACCATACTTGGAAATAAAGTTTAAAATTGAAGAACCCTTAGTGGTTGTCTGTGTTAACATTCTCATTATAAAGAGAAGCAACTCAGCCAGGGAATTTCATTCCAACTGGAAGTACCAGAGCCAACATCAGAACTCACATCTCTTGACTCTAAACTGTACATCCTTTCTGAACCTTAATGACTATTTTAAGGTTATCTGCAATTATGCCATAGTCTAAGTAATAAATAGTGATTATCTTGTAGACATAAATCCCGATGTCATCGATTAGGAAGATTTTTAAAAAGTAGATAAATGCTTATGGTCACAGGTTTGTCTGTCATCAATCTACCCATATAAACTTATTTAATCATATCCATTTTATATTATAACTGTTATGTGGTTGTAGATTACACAACTATATTCAAAAGTTACCTAAAATATAAATATTTTCCTTGTTTTCTGGATGTTTAGATAATGGCAAAGCATATACCTTTATTTATGTAAAATTTTTTTATTAAATTTTATTAGTTTTAATGAGCATTTACAGGGATTTTGGGTGTTCATTCCTTCATTGCTGCACCATTCTCTCTACTCTCCTCCCCAGTTTGTTCTTCCCCGCCATCCGAATGTCTGTTTTAATTGTCCAATTGCCACAGTGCTTGTCAAAGCCAGTTCTGATTAATCTCCTTTGTTATTGTGCCCTTTGCCATTCCCTATCACTCCTCCCTGAGAGAGACTTCACCCTGATTCATAAGGAAAAGGGGATGGCGTATTCTCTTAGCTACTTCCTGCTGAAAAGGGATGCTGTGGGTTTCAGGGTGAAGATCTTCTCTCACTACTCTAAAGGGCCCCTTTGGCAGTAGGAAACACATAGACTATTATGGAGATTGATTTCGGAATTTAGATGCACTCTTATTGATTGTGCTTGGCCGTACATGTTCATATCCTTGAAGATGTATCATGGGGGTGTTGCAACCTAGAAGACACAAATTTGACTAACAAGTTATAAGTACATGAGTCAAAAATTTTGGAAAAGTAAAAGAAAGGATTCTTTCATTGTTTAAAGCCCCTTTAGTGACCAATCAAATCTGGTCAGGCAAATTAATTTCGTCTTGTACCCCTGGGAACTTAGCTGGAACGAGTTCCCCTTGGTTGGCTGCTAACATTGGCTGCTGTGGACCCCGCACAGGGGGTAACTGCACATTTGCAGTTTCTCATCTAGTCACACTTTCTCATTTTATAGATGCTCAGAAAAGATAAAGGTTTATAGAGGTTCAAAAAGATAAAGTTCATCCCTTTTCTCATTCCTCAATTACCTATCCACTAGTTACTATGTTCACAGTGCTAGAAATAAACTACTTATCCTCATGAATCATACTAAAATTCTTCACAGTCATTCATAATTACATAATCTGATAGAAGTATAAAAACATACTACCTGCCCCTATGAATCATATTGCAATGGGGGTGGGCATTAATATACTATGAATAAAATGCTTACAACTTGTGATATCCACAATCCTCATGTGAATCATACAAGGTGAACATTAAAACAAAGAATAATGAGGAGAGGGCTTCAGAGTGGCAATATTTAAGCTGAGACCAGAGGATAAAGAGTTAGCCCTGCACGAAGTGACTTCTCTAAGATCATAATTAAAAGCTGTATAGAGCTGCTGGATCTGAGCCACCATCCTCCTCCTTGCTCCTGTGCCTTTGTCCGTACAGCCCAATGCATCTCTACAGAGGAGGAAGATACCCTCCCTCTAGCTATACATGAGAGTCCTTAACCTGTGTCACTCATCATCCTGGAGTTTCACCTCTAGATAGGACTGCCCTACCCTCTCATAAGGAAGGACTTTATCCACTAGTGTATGCAGACAGGAAACAAACATAGGAGCTAACCATGTTTTCATGCCTTGCTTCCTGTTGATAGGATACAATTAACGCCATTGAGGGCCTGACAGAATATTCACTTCTGGGGAAACAACTCCGCTTGGATATGGATATCAATGTCTCTTATAAGAAAAAAGGTGACATCTTCAATTATAAAATGACACAGAACAATTTCCTTGGGAGGCCAGTGGAGGTAAATGGGCAACTTCTCATAATATTTTATAACTAAATGAGACACTTGAAATTATCAATTTCATCCTTTTTGTGCCAAATATTTCTTCACCATTTAACCATATAATGAGTGCTTGGTACATATTACTAAGCAGTAGTGCATGCTAGGTCCTAAGGACCAGGAATTTAAAATCAAAACACAAAGAAGCTGCCTCCTGGAGGGAGGGCATCATTGTAAAAGAGAGTAAGACAACTTGACATAGGCAGAGTGAAGTTGTCAAATATGTCCCAATGTGTGGGTTCAATTCAGAAGAATGAGAGTGAGGTAACAATGTTTTAGGTCTAAAAAACAGCATGTCCCAAGGTGTGATGTAAAGCAAGAGAAAAGACATTTTTGAGAATCTGTTAGTGGTTCCAAATGGCCCCAAATCAACCACGCAGACCATGGCAGAATTAAAAGTGATGTTTAGCTTCTTTGCTACAGCTGATTATTTTAAAGTGAAACGTGATGCTTTATGATCATTTCCCTAAGAAAAGAATATTTTAATAAAATTAAATTCTTGACTAAGAACACTCCAAATCAAACTCACAGCAGTCAGACTGGTTCTGGTGTATAATGACCTTCCATTGGGTTTCCAGTGTTTGAATTCATAAAGGATAGAATCTGTCCATCTTCCTCCCACAATGGAATTGGTGGTTTCATACCACTGACCTTCCAGTTAACAGTATGTTGCCCATTATGTCACCAGGGGTCCTAATAGTATTAATACTACCACTGCTTTACCATGAGAGCATTGATGGCCTAGTGTGTAAAGAGCTACACTACTAACTCAAAGGTAGCACATCTCTGATGGTTCAAGCTCACAAACATCTCCACAAGAGAAAGATGGGCAATCTCCTCTTGTGCCATTTACAGCCTCTGAAAACCCACTGTAAGGTACACTATGAGATGGGTTCAACCCAACGGCAATGAGAAAGAGAGAGACACTTCACAGTACCAATATTAGAGAAAAATATTTTATAATTATAGTGACCTTGTGAACAACAGATCTGAACTTCGGCCTATCCTATGCCATCCTCATCATCTGACACATTCAAGCTCATTGCTACAATCACTCCATACCAATAAAGGTCTTCCTCTCCTTTGCTGACCCTCACCTTTCCAAGCATGATTCCTTTCCAAGAAATGGCCTCTCCTAGCAACATACCCAAACTATGTAAGAAGAAGCTTCTCCATCTTTGCCTCTGGCAACACTCTGTCTGAACCTTTCCCAAGACATATATATTTGCTCTTTTGGTAGTCCATGAGATATTTTCTACCCTTCCCCAACACTACAACTTAAAGGCCTCAGTTATTCTCTTATCATCCTTATTCATTTTCTAGCTCTCAGATGCATAGCAAGTAATTGAAAAGGCCATGGCCTGACAATGGCGCCAAACAACAAAGTTTAGGTTCTTTCCAAATATGTTTAACTATACAAATAATTAGAAATAGTTACATCTACATCTTATTTGTAATTCAGAATTTCTGTTTGTGCAAGTATTATGCATGTCAAATAAAAGTTAATTAAGAGATATCAGAGAGTTAGCCCTAATAAAAAGAAATAAATATAGGTATGGATGTATATTCTCCTATTTTAAGTACTAATAAAAATATGACAAGTATCAAAATACCTTCAATATGCTACAGTTCCATAGACACACACATGTCTATACTTGCTTGGTGCCTGGGCCTCTGTAAGCATTTGGATTTGTGGCCCTGGTTCAGTAATGTTTCTCCTTTCCTCAGGGACATTTGGAGTTCACTAGAGATCTGAGTCCCAAGCCAAAGATCTGAGGGGTCTAGTGGAGGATTCGTGGCCGTAAGAGCATGGCAGGCCCCTTTGAGGCAGCCACAGACGTACAAAAGTAATGCTGTAAGGTTCTTCATTTCATGATAAACATCTTCATTCAACTCAACTCAGTATCAAGTTGGAATCTACTCTAGCTAACCCTCCAGCAGTTTTCTGAAGCTATAAATCACCTGGGAGGAAACTGCCAATCATTTTCTCTTAGAGTCACCAGTGGATTCAAATCACCAGAGAGGCCCAGCCTTTGGTTATCAGTGCCACTCTCTATGGATGATGCCACTAGAATCCCTTAAATAAACCACTAGTCATATTGAAACAAAAGTCTCAGTCCACAATGTCACTATGAATCACAGTTGACTCAGTAGTGCATAACTATAATCCACAATGCTGTCTTCATGTGACATCTACTCTGTTATTACCTGGTTTGGGATTCCCTACTTGAGCTTGTCCTAAAATGTGCTCCCTCCATTTTCCTAAAATACATATTCCTCACTCACTCCTTGCTGTCGTGTCAGAACCAACCTGTAGTTGGTTATCAGAAGCTATAAATTACATGGGAGATTCCCCATCTCTGTCCTGAGGAGCCGTTGGTGGAGTCCAGCTGCCAGAAAGGAACCACTTTTGGATAACAGCATAACTCCCTACAGAGAATGCCACCAGACCTCCTTAAAATATGTATTACATTTTTAAAATGTTATATGGGGAAACACTAGTTTAAATGATATCAAACAAATTTCTTTCTACTGACTCCCTTATTTTCTGTACATAAGCAAGGGTGGTACCTCCTCTGGGGAGTAGTGGGGTGGGTATGGCAGAGTAGAAAACCATGCACATTTCCCAAACCTGTTAGTCCATGAAACGCTTTCTCATGTACCATATTAAAACCCTGGTTTTCCAGTAAATGCTAGTCTATTCTACTAGAAAGAATAAAAGTTAGCCTATTAACTATCCTTTGGAGGAAGGGCTGACAACCTTTTGTGCAAATCTAACCTCTTTTATACCACATGAAGCAAAGTAGAACTGACACTTCAGAACCCTTGCTCAAAATGATCACTGTCCATCCCACAAACTCAAGTTGCTTCGGAGGGCAGCATTTCTCTGGAAGGGGTTTTCAACTCGTCTTATCTCTTTACTTTCCTTCTAGCAAATCAGGAAGAAGAGAAGAAACTCATAAAGATTTGGCAGGCTTGGGTGGGTGCTAGGTTCTTAAAAAATAAAAGCCACAAATAAGTGGGAGGTTAGGTCAACAGGAGACAATGGGAGAGTGTAAAGGAGAAGCAGGAGAAAGCTAAAGATAGGTCTCCCCTATTGAATGGTTATGTTGAGGTTCCCTGCTCTGGTGCAGAAAATGACGATTTTAAACGTTTAAAAATTATAATTGTCACTAGAAAATTATCTCCTTTTCGCACAAAGGATGCTGAAAAAAGAGCCAGACACTGGAAGGCATTTATTCAGCTGGTGAAAGGAGATGATCTGTTTTCCCTTGTTGCTATAGAGTACTGTCAGGTCGATTCTATCTCATATTGACCCGTGTGCTCATGTGACAGTAGGACTACCTTCAGAAGGTTTTCTTGGCTACACTCTTTCCTGAAACAGATGGCCATGTCTTTCTCCTGCATATCTACTGGGTGAGTTTGAACCACCAACCCTTCAATTAGCAGCCAAATGCTTAATTGTTATGCCAGCAGTGTTCCTCCGATTTACCATCACTGTTGAAATGCAGACATGTAACTAAAAGTGACTTCCTGGGTCACTTAGGAAATCTCAGACATATTACATGTCTAAGATCTTATGTAGAAGGGACCAGAGAAATGCCAACTCTTTTTCCTGGCACCTACTTTCCTACTCCACCTTTTCTACAGGCATAGGAAAGGTGATGTAGTAAATTGGGTTATGAACCAAAAGGTTGAGTTCAAATTCACCACATGCTTTTAAGAGGAAGATGAGCAATCTCCTCCCATAGATTTACCATCTTCGAAACGCAATGGAGGGTCTATAGGTCAACAGCAGAGGGCTTATGAGGACACAGGAAGGATCCCTGATGGCACAGTAGTACTTGGCTGCTAACATAAAGGGTAGGCAGTTTAAACTCACTAGTCGATCCATCAAAGAATGATGTGGCAATCCACTTTCTTAAAGATTTCCTTGGAAACCCTATGGGATAGTTTTACCCTTCCCTCCAGCATCCATATGAGTCAGAATTAACTTGATGTCAGTGGATTTGGTTTTTGGTTTATGGGCACACAAAGGAGACCTGGAACGGTTAAAGAGATCAGCAGCGAACTGAATGGTCAGCAGTCCACACATGGCATTCATTTTGCAGGAGAAAGACGTGGTTGTCTGCTTCTGTAGAGATTACACCTTTGGAAACCTTCTGGGTAGTTCTGTCCTACAGGGTCACTGTCAATCAGAATCTAGTTGACAGCAATGGACTTAGCTTTAGTGTTATAGGTACAGGATCGTCAATGCCTTATCCATTTGCTCTCAGAAGAGCTCTGAAAAAGGAGGCTGATCAGTATCAAAAGACTCTTTTCATTGCTCTCCTCTTGCCCATTCATCAGATGTTTTTTAAAAGTATGGTTTCTCTACCCCCCCTTTCCAGTTGCTTCTTGACGATGACCTTGTGGTCAGTACTGGATACAGCAATGGCTTGGCTACAGTTCATGTAAGTGTTTCACAGCATAAGATGGAGCTTTGCCTGACTCTTCTACTAAGCAATGTAAAAGAATATTAGAGACCCACAGAATCACAAAAATCTCAGCTTGGTTGACCATGTTAAATGAAGGGTTTGTTTACCCCATTTATTTTCTAGATATCTTAGTAATTGACCTCACAGTTTCTTTTTTATAAAAAACAGTTGTTAACCTTTGTATGTATGCATTCTGTGTGTTTGTAGAAATTGCATCAATAATTGTATTTGTTTGTATGTGTGAATATGCAATTTTTTTTATTGTTAAATTTTATTAGTTTTAGTGAACATTTACAGAGATTTTGGGTTTTCATTCATTCATTGTTGCACTGTTTTCTCCACCCTCCTCCCCAGTTCATTCTTCTTCCCCCCACCCCCGAATGTCTGTTTTAATTGTCCAATTGCCACAGTGCTTGTCGAAACCAGTTCTGATTAATCTCCTTTGTCAGTGTGTCCTTTGCCATTCCCTATCACTTCTCCCTGAGAGAGACTTCACCCTGATTCATAAGAAAAAGGGGATGGCGTATTCTCTTAGCTACTTCCTGCTGAAAAGGGACGCTGTAGGTTTCAGGGTGAAGATCTTCTCTCACTACTCTGAAGGGCCCCTTTGGCAGTAGGAAACACATAGACTATCATGGAGATTGATTTTGGAATTTAGAGTCACTGTTATCAATTGTGCTTAGCCGTACATATTCATATCCTTGAAGATGTATCATGGAAGTGTTGCAGCCTAGAAGATACAAATTTAACTAACAAGTTAAAAGTACATGAGTCAAAAATTAAAAAGTAAAAATATTCCCAGTAGAGGTTCTAATAGTGGCACAAATCAAGTTACAGAGGGAAGGTGGTTCTTACAATAAAAGGCCTATAGACTAGCACTTTGTCTATTATAGTATAGAGGTTAGAAACCACAAGATGTAGAGGCTCAGCTATGTCATTTATGGTTCTTAAGTCCTGGAGGAAATTCCATCTACCAGTGGGTTGTTTTACAACTTGGAAGTTCAAATGCAAGGTAGAGGTAAAGTAAGGAACTGCTTATGAGGTTTTCCGTCCATTCCAAAAACTAAGAAATAGTGAGAAGAGTTGGGACCTCAGAAGGCTTTTAGGACCAATTAGTAGGCTCTGTGTCCCAGAGAAAATGAATATACTTACCATAATGTTAATGCTCACCCATAGCTCTTCTGGGAGGGTTGAATATGCAATTTTATGGTTGTTGTTGTTGATGATATGTGTCATGAAGACAGAACAGACCCATAGTTGACCCTCCAGTGGGTTCTCAGAGGCAATTAATTGCACAAGAGAAGATTTCCTATCCTTCTTGCACAGAGCAGCTTGTGCATTTGAACTACATGTCTTTGGATTGTGGCACAGCTTCTTACACTAGGCAACTGTTGTTGTTGTTGTTGTTATGTGTCGTTGAGTCACCTGCGACTCATAACAACCCTATGTTCAATAGCTCTAAAGTCTGCCCTGTCCTGAGCCTGTCTCACTTTCTCCAACATACCTACCCCAATTGCCCTAGTCACTGTATCAATCCATCTCATCCAAGATGGAGATTCTTCTGCACTGTCACTCCACCCTTTTGAGCAAAATGTCCTTCTCTAAGGACCAGTCCTTCCTGGCCACATGCCCAAAGTATGTGAGTCTTGGCAACTTTGTTGTTATATGCCGTTTAGTTGCTCACAAATCATAGCATAGTACAATAGCCCTAAACTCTGCTCTATCCTGTGCGAATCTTATTGTGTCTGACACACCTACCTACATTGCCCCAGTGACTGAATCAATCCATCTCATTAAGGGTGTTCCTTTCTTGCGCTATCCCTCCACCCTCCCAAGCATGATGTTCCTCTTCAAGGACTGGTTCCTCCTTGCAACATGTCCAAAGTATGTCAGATGAAGCTTCAGAACCCTTGCCTTCAAGGAGCAGGCTGGTTTTACCCTCTCTAGGACGAATCCCCAGTGGTCATATTATAGTCAATACTCTTCTCAAGAATCACAGCTCAAAGATATCAATTCTCCTAGCATCCCTAGTCATTGTCCAACTTCTGATGTATTGTAAGTAATCACAAAGAATATGGCCTGTCAGATGCACCTTAGTCTTCCAGACTGACATCATTGCTCTTCAGTACTTTGGAGCAGTCCTTGATAGCAGAGTTTCTCAATGAAACTCATCTTTTAATTTCCTGGCTGCTGGTACCAAGAGTGTTGATTGTGAAGCCAAGCAATCTAAAGCTGTCAACAATCTCAATTTCTTCATCTTCTATCATGTTTCTGCCAATCAGCCAAGTGATGAGAATCTTTGTTTTCTTGATGTTGAGCTTCAATCCATATTTAAATAGGCTGCAGTCTTCGACTTTCTGCATCAAGCGCTTCAGGTTCTCCTCAGTTTCAGCAAGCAAGGTTATGTCATCTGCATAATGATGTAAGGATGCTTTAGGCAGAATAAGAAATGATCCAGGAAGCATTAAAAGAAGACGGCAAGAGTATAAAGTCATTGTACTAAAAGGAATTGGGGAACACAGAAGAATTTCATGAAACAATGTGTAAGCAAGAGCCTGTGGTGATGAAGGAAGTTCAAGCTGCTCTGAAAGCATTGGCAAAAAACAAGGGCCCAGAAATTGACAGCATACCAATTGACATATTTCAACAAACAGACACTGCCCAGGATGTACTCACCAAGTTGTGCTAAGCAATCTGGAGGACGATCACCTGGCCAACTGACTGGAAGAGATCTATATTTGTTTCCATTCCAAAGAAAAGTGACCTGACAGAGTGCAGAATTTATCAAACAGTATTATTAATATCACTTGCAAGCAAGATTCTGCTGAAAATTATCCAAATACAACTGGAACAGCACATCAACAGAGAACTGCCAGAAGTGCAGGCTGGTTTTAGAAGAGGCCTTAGTACTAGGGATATTATAGCATATGATAGTTAATATTAGGTGGATCTTGGCTGAAAGCAGAGAATACCAAAGGAATGTCTATCTGTTTCATTGACTATGCAAAGGCATTTGACTGTGTGGACCACAATAAAAGATGGCTAACTCTAAGAAGAATGAGAATCCATTCTTGATCGTGCTTATGGAAACCTATACTTAGACCAGGAGGCATTTGTCAGAACAGAGCAAGGAAACACTGCATGGTTCAAAACTGGGAAGAGTGTAGACCAGGGATATGTCCTACCTCCATACCTTTTCAATTTATATGCAGAATAGATCATCTGGGAGGCTGAGCTCTGTGAGGAGAAATGTGGCTAGACTACCAGAGCTTCCTAAATTCAATAAATATATATAAATGCCTTTTGGGTTTTAAACACACACACACACACACACACACACACACACACACACACACACACACATATTTGTGTGTGTGTGTGTGTATATATATATATATTGTTGGTAAGATAGTCATGTCTCTTTTATCCAGCATTACTGAAGATTGTTATATGTGAAGGCTAAAGTTTCTTTTTATTTTGATCATTTAGCATTTGCAAGTTTTTCTAAAATGTTTATGTAATCAATGTGTAGTTAAATTGTAGAATCCAAGTGTGAACTAACATTCTCTTGATGATTTGATGATGTTTTAGTACATGTTCTCCTTTGAGAACTTTTGCGGAGGGTTACACGGGCATGGTTGGATCACATACCGTTCTCCTAGGTGCTCTTGATGTGGCTCCTTCTGCCCGCCCCTGCCCACACGCACCTATAGTCTTCTGTTTACCATAATGTTGAACAAGCTGTGAGAAGATCATGTTCCCGGCATGGCAGTGTTACGTGTAAAATTAAAGCCTACAGGGTCCTGGGGCAGCTTTGGGAACTTCTTTCTAGAGCAAGATGCTCAGACTTGCCAACACAGAACCAGGAAGAATATTTTTCTCTGGTCAGAGGTCACTTTTTGGTATTCAGTGACATTTCAGATTGTGCAGTTTGCTTAAATTCCAGTCACTGGAAAAAGGATCACTCCTATATGCTATTTGTACTGAATTATGGACATTTTGCCTCAAGCATCCCATTTACTGCAGCAGTATTGCCATAACACTTCACTTTTCCTCTTTAAATGGAGTCTTGTTTACTTTTCCCGATTTAGGTAAAAACTGTGGTTCACAAGACCAGCACTTCTGAGGAATTTTGTAGCTTCCATTTAAAAATTGAAAGCCAGGATACTGAAGGTAAAACACCATGATTTATACTATAATTTTAGCTAAAAAAAATGTACTTTCTCAAAAGACAAAATGTTCTAACCAAATCTCTCAGCAGATTAATACACAAGTAATCAGTACTGTCATTTCTTATAGTAGAGACAGCTCTAGTAAGAATTTGAAACTGTAATTAAATAACTTAATAGCTAAACTATATGTTTTCAGGACTGATCAAGGAGTTAGCTAAATAACCCACGTTGCTTTTTAAGAACTTTGTAATAACCACAATGCTTTGTACCTGCTTGTAAAGTCACAGAAAGAGTTGATTCCAGAACCTTGGGGTCTTGTCAATTTTGTGTCAAGTCCTATAACTTTCATTTTCCCTTACCACTGGCTAGTGTTCTATCCCCTAGTCTCTCTGTACTGCAAGGGGTCTGGCTAGTACATATTTCTGTATCTACACCTTCAGCATGGTGTTTAAGTTTCTTTGGTCTTCATTGTCTTCCTCTGACCATCACACCGGGGTCAGGGTGATGAGTACTTCCTCCTCAGTCCTGGGACCTTTCCGTTTGTTGTTCAGAGCCTGTTTCTAACAGGAAATGTTTCAATTGCCAGTTGATCCCGAAATCTGCTCCCTCTCCTTCCAACATTCCCTAAACACATTCTCAGTCCATGTTTTTTAAATAACTTTTTCTTTAAATTTTAACTTGGCATTTGAGAACAGAAAATGGATTTACTTTTTAAAGGTTTCTTGGTATAGTCAGTGGTCATAAGTTTCTGTTAAAATCACCTACAAATGCCAACTTCCACATTTTTAAGTCATTTTAAGTGTATTAATGATTCTGTTCTGACAAATTACAAAACAGCTTTAACACTGTACTTCCCCTCTCCTCCCTCCTCCGCCTTTTTGTTTCCCCTTGTGTTGTCTGAGTTAGGATCTGAAGACAGAACCTACAGCACCTCCGATTACAAGCGCATAATAGCATGCGCCAGGTAAGTTCATTTCCATAAAGGGAAGTACAGACTTCAGGTTCTCGTTTTTTCAGCCCAGAGTATTGTCTCTTTACCACTTCGTTAATTTTAAGATGACTGTTGTTGTTGCTGATTGTCATTGAGTCAAGCATGACTCATAGTGACCTGATGAACAAAAGACCTGAAGCCTTTCTATAACTACAGTCCTTTCTGAAAGTACAGAGTTTCCAGAGGCATGTTGTTTAGGAAGTGGTTGCCACTCTTGCTTCCAAACCTGTCTTAAACTGGGAACTCCACCAAACACTGTCCACCATGGATAACCAGTATGGCATTTGACAACCCAGTGGCACAAGGTTCAGCGTCACAGCAACCCCAGGTTACCTCAGTACAGCAAATTGATAGAAGAGTTCTGTACCATTTAGAAGAATGTTCCTCCAAAATATAATAACCACCACCAAGTTTTAAATACAAGGGTCCTCCATGAGGTTTTGTTGGCTCTAAACAAGAGGCTTAAATAAAAAACAACCAATAGAATATGTTATTGTTATGTGACATTGAGTTGCCTGTGACACATAGTGACCTATGTAGAGCAGCTCTGAAACCTTCCCTGTCCTGAGCCAGTCTCACGAATTCTGACACACCAGCCCCCATTGCCCCAGTTACTTTATCAATCCATCTCATCCAGAGGCTTCCTCTCCTGTGCTGGATCATGTGCTACTTGGTTTCTAGACTGACATCATTGCTTCTTAGTACTCTGGAGAGGAACCTGACAGCAGATTTTCCCAATGCTTTTCTGTCTTTTGATTTCCTGACTGTGGAGTTGAGCAATCTGTAATTGTTAACAACCTCAATCTCTTCTTCTACCATGGTGCCGCCAACTGGCCTGGTGGTGAGAATCTTTGTCTTCTTGATGTTGAGCTTCAATCCATATTGAAGACTATAGTCCGTGACCTTCTGCAGTAAGCACTTCAGATCTTCTTCAGTTTCAACAAGCAAGGTTGTGTCATCTGTATATCATAGGTTGTTAATGAGTCTTCTTCCAATTCTGATGTCACATTCCTCCTCATAAAGTCCTGCTTCCTGCATGATCTGTTCTGCATACAGATTGAAAAGATATGGGGACAAGATGCATCGCTGACGCACTCCTTTCCCAATTTTGAATCATGCGGTGTTTCCTTACTCTGTTCTGACGACTGTCTCCTGGTTCAAGTATAGGTTTCGTATAAGCACAATCAATTATTCTGGGATTCCCATTTTCCTCAAGGTTAGCCACAATTTGTTGTGAGCCACACAGTCAAATGCCTTTGCATAGCTAATGAAGAAGATATAAAATTATGCACAGTTTTCCATGTGGAACATACCAAGTGCCCTTACATAACGATTTATCACAAAGGATAGCTTTTGGGGTTTTGCTCATATTGGTTTTATCTTCCCATTTTGATCTTTTTCCTAGTTTTTTGTGTTCAGAAGGGTAAAAATGTTACAGAAGTGTTAGAAAAAATAAAAACTAAAAAAAAATGTCTTTCATAAACAGCATTGTTGATGTCTCAGTGGTAATGAGTTGCACTGCATTTCAAAGGCAGTTGGTTCAGATCCACCAGCTGCTTCACAGTAGAAAGACGGACAATCTCCTTCCAAGCGATTTACTGCCTCTGAAAACCTGTAGGTGGGTCAGCTATGAGTTAGTTCTAACCTGATGCACACACAGCAACACTTTATTAGAAAATCATGGTCTCCCTCTACTAGTTCTCAGCCAAGTCTGCACACTAAAATTGGCTGAAGGGTTTTCAGAAATTTCCAAAGTGCCTACCTTATTCTAGAGGTCATTTCAATGTTAGCAAGGATTGAGAATCTCTGCTTCCAAACCATCTGTAGACTCACTAAACCAGTTGTCATTGAGATGATCCTAACTCATGGCAATTGCATGTGATTCAGAGAACTGCTTGGGGGAGGGGGGGCGTGCTGAGTATTTGTAGCTTTTTACTGAGATTTGAATGAAACTAGTTCCACAGGGTTTTCAATGACTGACATTTCAGAAGTAGATTGTCAGGCCTTTCTTTTGAGGCAGCTCTCAGTGCACTTAAAACACCAACCTTTTGGCTAGCAGCCAAATGCATGAAACCTTTTGTCCCACCCAGAGATGCTACAGACTTGCTTTAGAGACCTTCTAATGTCCTATTGTTGCTACAATAAATTACCACAAATTCAGTTATCTTGAACCAACATAAATGCATTATCTTATAACTCTGAAAGCAAAAAATTTAAAAATCATGATGTTGGCAGACTGTTTCTTTTGGAAGCTCTAGGGAAGAATCCATTTCCTTGCCTTTCCCAGCTTCTGGAGTATACCTGAGTTGCCTGGCTCATTGTCTTTCCTTTGTCATCAACATGAACCAGCATCTTCTAGTCTCCTTTCTGACTCTGACCTCTGCTTTCATTATGGCATCTCTTCCTCTGATACTGCCTTCCTCTTTCCCTTATAGGGAAGTCTGTACAGGCAGTCTCTGGGCCACAAACCAGTTTCTATTTCTGAATTAGTTTTTAAATTTCATTTGTATGTAAATTGCAACAGTTAGGTACAATTAGTATCTAATATCAGTTAAATGTTTGTTTTAGTACATAGTTTATAGTGTACCTTTCTATACATTAAAAAATCCCAACCCCATTAGATAAATAATACCAGATACATTAAACCATCCTTAACATAACAATGTTTGGGATGTATGCCATACAGCACTCACTATCTGTCTGTTATTATAAACTTGTATGCACCTCGAATTTTCAATACAATTGCTTTGCCGGAGTTGGTTCATAACTACAGGTTGGCTGTATGTAAATCAGACATTTGTAATTCGGGCACTATCAATTATGTACTGGGCCACAAAAGAGTACAAATATCACTCTTATTACCTCAATATCCTTACCTTAAGCATGTTTTCAAAGTCCTTTCTGATGCATAAAGCAACATTTACAGGTATAGACAAGTCAGACATGACATTTTATTCTTCTTACATTGTCTCACATACTTTGGGCCTGTTGGCAGAGGAGGATTTCCTTGGAAAAGGACATCATGCTTGGAAAGGTGGAGGGATGGAGAAGGAGAGGAAAACTCTAAATCAGGTGAATTGACTGTGACCGCAGCAGTGGGCTCAAGTGTGTCAGAGATTGATTGTGAGGTTGGCACAGCATAGAACAGGGTCCAGATCTGTTGTTTATAGGGTCACTATAAGTCGTACTTGACTTGAAAGCATCTTCCACTTCCTAAACAATATGCCTTTGGAAACTCTACGAACTCTGATAAATGTCAATAGTTATAGAAAGGCTTCAGGCCTTTTATTCATAGCTCGATTTGATGGTGATCAACAACAATGACTAATAACTGAGCCACTATCCTCAAATGTTTTTGGAAATGTAGATTTAAAAAAGAAAACACAAAAATAAAAACATTAGTACTTTTAAAACGTTCGTTTTTGTTGTTGTTGGTGTTGGTGTTTTATCTTATTGATTGCACAAAATAAACCAGTTTATGACAGAGCCAGGACTGGAACATGGGCCTTATTACTCTATTTCTATCACCACTCAATCCCAATGTTTGTGTTCTATTTCCTTCCAAACCAAACCCACTGCTGTTGAAGCAGTTCCAACTCACAGCGGCCCTCCATTATATTTCCAAAGCGTTAAGTCTTTGCAGGAGGAAATTGTTTATCTTTCACCTGAGAAGTTAAGTGAATTCAAACTGCTGAATTTTCAGGTAGCAGCATGAAATCTTACATACTAATTCTCCAGGGCTTTTTTTTCTATTTTCTTGACCCTTCATATTTTCAATAACAATTATCTCTCTGGATAGAAAGTCTGCTATCCTATAATCATACACGGATGCTCTGGTAGTGTGGTCTGTAGTGGGTTGCACTGCTAATACAAACCTTTTTGATTGTTAGCTCTGTGGGAGAAGGAAGGGCTGTCTCCTCCTGTGTGATTTACACACTTTCAAAACCCACTGGAGGGTCAGCTATGCGTTGATTCTGACTTGGCTGCAGTAAGTTTGAGTTTTCTTTTAAAAAAAAAAAAACCTCACTCATTTCACTTCATTGACAGGAGGCCTAATTACAAATTCTAAGTTAAAACAAATAGAGATAGAATAGTGAATATTCTATTCTTCAGTTTTTACAAATTGGGAACAGGATGTTAAAAAATGATGAGTGGAATATGCTTCTGGCTCTGTGACATTGAAGTTAGGTTGGGTAAATTCCAAAAGTGACTGTGTAGTATTTACACATAAGAAATTCTCTGTCTTTGAATATTCTCTCTCTCCTGATTGATTAAAAAATGTCCACACACAATTTCCGTGTTCAGTAGGTCTCTTTAGTGTATTTTAGCCATTTACAACCTCTCTGTTGTATTCGTAAGAAAATAGGGAGGTTGGGGGATTTTATTTCTCTCCTCTCAGAACAAAATGCCTTTGGGAAGATTGCTGTCTTTGGCAGCAGGCAAAGAGCTTCTTGAAAGAAAGATTTCTATTCCTTGGTTGAAATAGTCTCCATAGCAACCAGTCATCAAGGCTCCAGCAACCTTTTCATAGACACTCTCCACTCCGGAGGCCCTTTTCCATCCTCTTGACAGAGTATTTGTGCCAGTGAGCAAGAGTTCCCTTGCTTCTGGTGCCACTCACCCGTTGAAATAGGGGCAAGTGCAGATGTCATAACTCCAAAAGGCCTAATATCATGTCTCAAGTTGCTCATTTATTAAAGAATGTGCTAAATTTTTATGAGTCAGAGATTTTGTAAATGTTTTGCATTATCATGATAAATATTAGATCTAAAATTTAGAATATCATTTGCTTTATAGATGTTCTATAAGCTGTAATTGGTCAAATAGTATCTACCTCCTCAACTCATATAACACCTCCAATTCACTTATAATCTTTCTTTTATAGGTAGGAGCAATGCTCCTCTTATTATTATCATTCTTTTTCTTCTTTTGAGGCTATCTTCCCAGTTTTTTCCTCAATCCTGATGTCTTCCAAGCTCTCTAATGTGTAGCTGCCTCTCACTGTCACCTTGATTATCAGGTTCATACCTAAAACAGTCTTTGCAAGCTACCCTCATGCTGTCCTTTTTTATAAAAAAAAATATATATTTCATGCTATCTCTTTTTTCCCCCTCGTGTACACATTTAGTTTTACTGTAACAAAGCAACTTGTACACTTTTAATGTTTAAAACTGAGCATCATCTTTTCTTTCCAGTGAAACAAAAAGAAAATTTAAAAATAAACAGAAATATAGACAGGAATATAGACAGGACAATAGAGAATGTCAATCCCAAATAAGATCCTATATGTTCTGCTGATTCTCCCATCGAGTGGCAGGGCTCAAGTCATCATTAGGAGAGAATTTAATTTTAAAAGTGTCATCTTAAACTGCAAGGACGTCCGTTAAACATCACAATTAAACATGCCAAAGGAGAAGCCATGTTGTCCAAAATGCCCACTTAACCCACCCAAACATCTCAAACCCACCCTTTGCTGACCTTCTATAACCCCCATTTTTTTTAAAGTTTTTTTCTTCTTTTTTTAAACAAGAGAAAGTAGACAGATACATGTTGGTAAATACTAACTGCCCATATTCACATAGAGACAGAGTGTAATCTCTGAGCCCAATATACAGAGAAAGGAAAAAAGCTAGAATTCTATGCACTACTACACAGGGGCCTAGCACCCTCCAGCTTCCAGCAGAATGAAGGGAGCAGAAGGTTTTTCTTTTTTCTCCTAGAGCATGGTGGTGGTGTGTTGATTCCATATTTCTGTTGAGACAGGAAGGGATAAAAAATTTGGAACAGAAAGGGGTAGAGATTCTTTTCCCACTGTATTTTCCCCAAAATTAAAGTTGAGAACCATGGTGTAGAGGAGAGAAAAGAGACCTCAAGAACGGGGTGACTGAGCACAAGAAGAGAGGGGAGGAAAAAATAAACAAAACGAAACAACAAAAGACTGCAACTTGCTCCCAGGGACTGAAGAAAATTTAAAAAGGTTGGAATCCATCAGGGTTCTTCGTCATCTTCTCCTTCTCCCTCATCATCATCTTTATCTTCCTCCCCTTCATCTTCATCCCCTTCTTCATCAATATCTTCCAAACCTTCTTCTTCTTCATCATCATCATCATATTCTTCTCCTTCTCCTTCTTCATCATCCATATCTGGAACCAAATAGTACTGTAATGGATTTGGCCAAATATCACCTCTCCTAATTCATCTGCACCAGCATCAGAATGATCAGTGAACCAAGTAAAGAAGCTCTCTGGTTCTTCATGCTGTCTCTTCCTGCTGGCTTTATTCTGCATTTGACTTGAACGTTTTGTCAAGTCCTTTCCAGATTTCCATTTAATTTCAGTTGATTTTGAGGATGGATCACCACTCTCATTCAAATGAAACTCTTTGGAGAGAATTTTATTTTCAAAGTAAGGATTTTCATTAAAATAAAAATCTATTCTGTAACCTGATTTAATATCTTCAAATTCCGTCACTTCAACTCTGGTCAAATAATGCAGTGCCTCTTCATCCTCCTCCCCGAGCAATGCAGACACTTGTGGATGGTTGACAAATGTTGTTACCCAAAAATTTGGGATTTTGGAGATCAACTCTAACCTCTTCTGAAAGAATGATTGGTGGAGTTTGTTATATTTCTGTTCTACTTTCAAAATCTCCTCACTGGCTTGTTCATTAAGTCCATTTCATTTTGTACTTCATCAGTATGTTCAATTGCTTCCTGCTGTTCTTTTCCCCCCTTCGGCAAGTTCACAGAGGCCGTCTCCTGCAGGCGGCGTTTTTTCGTTTGTGGCTGGAGGGGAGACTGGCATTTCGGGGCCATGCTGCAAGCAAAGTCTAAGTACTAGAGGAATCAGATACTTATCCTAAAAATGTTTCGCTGTCCCGTTTTTAAAGTCAGTTCTGTTGAGCTGTAGCACCAAGTCTCTGCTACCCAAAATCCAAGCCTCAGAATTACAGAGTTAAGTTGTTAAATAAATTTATATTTCTTTACAGTTATTTTTGCAAACAAGAGACTGAGCTCTAGAAAAAGGAAAAGATTTGTGAAAGTCTCTCAATAGAACTGGGATAAAAAGCCAAGTTTCCTGACTCCCATTTCAATATTCTTTTCTCTTATGGAAAAAATAAAGACAAAACCCCTTCCCACATTATTCTCTTTGTCTTTCTCTTTAACTTCCCACTAGCATAATTCCTAGACCAAGGCTAGATCTTAAGACTTTTTTTTTTCTTTTTAGTTAATAAAGACTCGATTAGTAAACCATTGTAGAAAACAGAGAAAATTAAATATGGAGAAGAAAAGAGGTAATCAGTCATAATCTCACCACCAGAGAAAATAGCTGCTAGCATTTTGGTGTATTTTCTTCAATTATTTTCCTAGATGTAGTTTAAGTCTCTTTTCAATATATATTTAATCTTCTCTTTAATACATTTCCTTAGAAAAAGGGACTATAAATGAAAATCAGGAGCCCTGGTTTCTTAGGCAGTTGGGACATGAACTAGCTAGGTGTCTTCATTTCTTTGTGCTGTGGTAAATATCACAAGTAGGTGGCTTTCATGAACATAATTTTTTTTTTCACTGCTTAGGAGACTAGAACTTTTATTGGTTCACTAACTCTAGGAGAAGGCTTTCTCTGTCAGTTCTTGTCTCTCTTTCAGTATCTGTTCCTCGGTTCCTCCTAAGCTTCATGTGGCATGACATCTGTCTTCTTGACCACTTGAACTTGTTTACTTCTGTGCCAAAGTTATATCTTTCATATCTCAAAAATTTTTGGCTTAAGATACACCCTAGACTGATTTAGGCCCATTAGCATAATAAAGAAAGCCCATTTCCCAAAGGGAATTATGTCCATGTGAATGTTGTTGTTGTTGTTGTATGCCCTTCAGGACCTACAGGTTAGATTAGAATTGTCCTGCTCAGCAGAAGGTCATTGGTTTGAACCCACCAGCTGTTCTGAGAAAGAAAAGACTTGGTGATCTTCTCTGTAAAGATTACTGACTAGTAGTACATCCTATGGGATAGTTTTGCTCTGCTTAAGTGTTGCTGTTGAGAGCTCTGGTGGCCTAGGGGGTAAGGAGTTGCACTGCCAACTTTGACAATTTGAATCCACCAGCTGCTCTGAGGGAGAAAGCTAGGCAGTCTCTTCCTGTGAGGTTTACAGCCTCTGAAAACCCACTGGAGGGTCAGCTGGAGGGTTCTGACTCCATAGCAATGTCTTTTTTTGGTTGGTTTGTTTGTTTTTTTTAATCGAGCTGCTATTAGTTGGAATCACCTGAAGGGCAGACAACAATCTTTACAGAAGTAGATCGCCAGGTCTTTTCTCCCATGGATTCAGCACTACCTTTTAGGTTAGCAGCTCAGCCACCAGGGCTCCTTATGCACAAGCACAGGAGTGGATACTATAATATGTATTTTGGGAGTACGTAGTTCATTGTACCAGAGATGATGAAGGTACACAGGATAGGACAGGATTCAGAGCTGTTGTTCATAGGGTCACTCCGCTTGATGTATACATCTCAACAGCAACTAACAACAATTCTGTTCCTGTACTATATGACCTTTCCTTACTCTCAACCTCAGATGCCTCAGCCACGTAGCTAAGAGTTTAACCTAGAGGACTTTGGTGATCTCTATAACTGGTTGAGTAAAGAGAACAAATTACTCAAAGATCTCTTGCAACGCTAAATTTCCCTTTTTTTTTTTTAGCATCCTCTCTCTCTTTCATGTTGTTACTGTTATGTACTGTTGAGTTGGAATGGACTAATAGCTGACCCTCCAGGGTTTTCAGAGGCAGTAAATTGAATGGAAGAATGCTCATCATTCTTCTTCAGGGCGGCTGTTGGATTCAAACCCAATGACTTCAGGTTGAAAAGTGCAACTCTTTACCACTAAGAGACAAGAGTTCCTTCATAATATCATGGGGTGGGGGGAAAGAAAGAAAAAAGAAATACATATTCAAAATCTAGAGTCATTGCAGAAAAAAGGAATAAGCCATCGTGGCTCATTGACTTACACATTGGTTTATTAACCAAAAGATCCATGGAGCTGTTCTATCTTGTCATTCAGGGTTGATTTGAGTCAGAATTAATAGCAATGGGATCACAGAATAGGACTTTTTCCTAAGGACTCATTAACTTATCTCATTTTCTAATCTTTATTTCAGCTATAAACCCAGTAAGAAAGAATCACCATCTGGATCCTCCCATGCAGTGATGGATATCTCTTTGCCTACTGGAATCAGCGCAAACACAGAAGACTTAACAGCTGTAAATGTTTTCTTTCAAATATTAATGTCAGTGCTTACTTTTCTATTCTGCATTGTTACAGATAAAATTATTTACTTCTGTTTTAATATGTCAGACTTTCTTAGCATTACCCATGATTTTCCTGTATCAGCAGTTTGTGATTTTCAAAGTGTAGTGGGGGTCTATCCTGGCATGATCTGAAAGCTTGAGTTCATATGCTAATATGTTCAGACTTTGCCAAGAAGAACAGCTCTGCAACTTCTGGGTTACATCTCTGTGAGCTAACATCTCAACGACAGCTGAATGCATTTAAACAAAAAGGCAATGAAATTAGGTTCAAGCTTTTCTCTTTTTATCCTTCAGCTTGTGGAAGGGGTGGACCAACTAATAGCTGATTACCAAATCAAAGACGGGCATGTCATTCTACAACTGGATTCAGTAAGCTCACTCCCCCCCTCCTTTTTCCTTTGCCATTACTATTGTGTCAAAAATAACAACTTACCATTACTAACCAAAATTTGCAGATTAGAATATTATGAGTCTCTTCTTTTTCATGATTTCTTCTCTGAATTTGTTCAACAGATTCCCACCAATGAATACCTTTGTGTCCGTTTCCGGATATTTGAACTTTTTCAAGTAGGATTTCTGAGTCCTGCTACATTTACAGTGTATGAATACCACGAACCAGGTAATTAGTTCAAGTCTAAAATTTCTTCAGGATACTACTTTTTATTCTTTATGGAACCACTAAAGATCTGTGAGAGGCTAGTTTCTCATTTTATATAGTGTCCATTCTGGAACTCATTTGTCACAAAAATCACTAAGTCTTAACTGAGATAAATTAGTGAATAACTTTACATTAGCAATTTCCTCTCTCTATTCCCAACAGTAAAATTGTTTGCCTTAAATTTCTCTTTGGTGTTCAATTTCAATATACAATGAATCTTCCCACTGCACTTTTTTTTCAGATGTTCACTTCCTCTTCTATATCTTTAATCTTTCCAGAATCAGCATCTTTTCTATGTTATTCTCATCATGTTATACAGTTAGCAATTGTCCCCTTGCATTATAATTATTTGTCTATACCTTTTCTTACCAACTCTCTACAGAGTCATTTTCACCTTTGTGCCCCTAGTATCTAAATAGTAGCACATGCAAAATGTATATAAAAAAATATTGTTGAGGGAATAACGCCATAATTGCTCACTCAGACGTTTCTGAAAATGTTAACTAATTGGTACACTAGTACACAGGACAACCCGTTCCTCTTTGGACAGATCTACTTGTGAGGCAATTCTTACATTGAATTGAACTGAAATTTTATCTTTTGAAAGCACATAGAATATATCTAGTTCTTTTTTCCTTATACATATCTTTATATGCTGCTTTTTCTTCCCTTCACCAGCCTAAACAATTACAGTTCTTTCAACAGATTCAAATATAGCGCAGATATTTTCCTTTCACTTTTGGAAGCACCAAATATTTTATCCTAGGAAATTAGTATTACAAAGTAAAATTTCAAGTACATAACTACATAAGTAGACAAGAAGGGATCATTATCCCTTCCAGGGATAATTTATCCCTTCCAGGAATAGTTAATTCATACCTTCTCCAGCTAAATATAAGGTCAACTCTTCCCTCTTCATGTCATCCCAGATGAGCTATACATTCATATCATCTATCTCCTATCCATTTAACCTCTGTTACTCAGTAGAACATTACTAGCTAAACTGTCTCATCTGTTCACCATTGTTGTCTCTCTAAGACTGCTTTGCCATATATATTGCAATAGTTTCCCAGTTTGTTCTCTTTTGAATTTAATATGTTGTTAATGTTAAGTTTTTTATGATTTATATTATATTTTTATATTAAAATATTGGTGTATTTTAGTATATCATTTTTTTTCTTTAGTCAGATCTTTATGATTTTGGGACCCCTGGATCTCAGAAAGACTATCCTCAAAGAGATTATTTTTACTTATATCTTACAGTCTTATCATAGATTCTTTTTTTATGTTTATACCTTATCTAACTGGAATTTATTCTATTATAGGAAATGAGGTAGGAATCCCATTTCTTTCATTTCAGATAAACTACAAGTCGTTACAATAATATATATTAAATTCTCTTTCTTTTCTAGAGTGATTCTTTCAAAGGCTGGTTAATATTAGAGCATTCCAACAGCTAACCACAAGTCAGCTACATGGAAGACAGGTTTTAATTCAATCCCAAATTACACTATAAATAGTAGAAAACTTTAAAAGTATGTAGAGTTATGGGAATAGACCTAGAATTGCTCCATCACATTCTTTGTGTTCAAACAAGAGAGTGATGAATCTCCCTCAATCTTATCTACAAAAACAAGGGTTTGGAAGAGATGATTCTCTACTGAAGAGACTTACCAGCACATAAATGTGTTGTGCAGCAATCAAGCCACTTCTCCTAACTATGATGCTTTCATTGTCATAGACAAACAGTGCACCATATTCTACAGCACTTCCCATTCCAACCTGCAGAAAGTCTGTGAAGGAACCACGTGCAAATGTGCAGAAGGTAAGTTTTGTTTAGCGTATACAGGCTACACGATTGCGTAAAGCAGCCACTCCAAATCCATGCTAACCTGGAGGAAACTGTTTCACAAATAGTACAAAGAAGTAGAAATGTCATCTCAGCTGACAGAAAGCTCATGATTCCTTTTCCCTTGTAAAGCTGTTTCTCTGAAACTCTTCAATAATCTGGTGGTTTAAACAAACAATTCATGGGCTGGAAATTCCATACAGTCAATGGCTAGATGTCATAGAGTTATCAAACTCTGAATATTAGCTAGAGCTTTTCCTTGTCATCAGGCCTTTGTAATACAATAGAAACAAATTATTTTGTTCTAAGGGAACAGATTCAAACTAACCAGCAGTTAGCTCCCCTTTCTTTCACACTATCCTTCTGGGTTAAAGTCATTTCCTGTCCATTTCCATTTCAGTCTTTTCTTTCTTGGGCAGAAGAAAAGTTCAGAATTCAGTAATTAGAAGCAACTGACTTCATGGTGGTCTGGATTGTTTCTACTGTTTTTAGTTTGTTTTTTAAAATCCTTAATACTTTTCCTAGATACTTATTTCACCATCATTAAATCATCCCATTTATCATTATTTAATCCTAGAAGGTGCATACAATTTTTTATCATACTCATATACCTCCAGAAATTCTATAAATGTGGAGAAACAATGAAAGTTATACAAGTGTTCAGGTCTTTCATGCATAGGGTCGCTATGAGTCATATACCACTTGGCGGCATCTAACAACAACAACATCATAAAGAAAATGCTTTTCCTTGTCTTCAAGAGACCACCTTCATTAAAGCCTTAAATTCAAAGCTTTATTTTTGGTTTTGCATGTTTATTTGCTTTGTTTCATTTTTGCTTTATGAAGCCTTTTACTCTCTGAAAGAGGGGAAATAACATCTTTGGAATCTCGCATTTCTAAGAGTGTATTAACTTGTTCCAAGGTTTGGGAAACCATTTACTTGCAAACAAAGTGTTTGCTTCTTGACATGGATCTAACTTTCAACATTTTCCACAAAATCCAGCTGACTGTGGGCAGCTGCAGAAAGAAGTGGATCTGACAATCTCTGCAGAGACAAGAAAACAAACTGCATGTAAACCAGAGATTGCGTACGGTGAGTTCAAATGTTCAAGAAATAGTTGAACAGTAAATGTATGAGCATATGATCAGTTAGCAGAATCAAAAACTTTATATAGTGATTATATAGATACAGAAGTCCAAGTGTGCCCTCCGAAAAACATGCCATTTATTTTCACATTAACATGAAAAGTTATTTACCCTTTAGTAAAGAAATACGATTTTCATTTAAAATAATGAGAGTAACAGGCAAATCCAGCCAACATGCTGTACCCCAATACGTATCTCTTGAATTACAGCCGCTAAAGCACATTCAAGGGGCCCTTTAAGAAGCCACAAAACCCAAAATTTCAGAACTAGATTCTTCCAGTTCAACAAAGGCAAAAGTGGTTGTGGGCTTCAACTTTTTTCTTTTTTTCAGACAACTCTTCAATGATAAACTGAAACATACCATTTACTAAATAATTTTAATAAATGCAGAAGACAGTCTATGGTCAAGATTTTCTCTATTTCAGAAAGAGGATCTCTTTGTGGTGGCTACACTTGAGAACTAAACTAAATGCCCAAGAGTCCTAACAGTTTTAACTCCAGCCCCTGATACGATTAGCTCTTTTTATTTCTCACCCAAAGTTTTTGATGTTTCTTTTTTTCTGAAATTCAGGACATTTTCCATCCATTTTAAACAGCTCATTTGCCCAGCTTTTGGGTTTGCCCACAGTGAGTTCATCTGCCTAACAAGCCAGCTAGCTCCCTATTTCTGATGCTGAGAATTTCATAGACTGTTGTTGTGTTCCATCAGATTGGAACTGACTCATAACTGACCCTCTGGATGATTTTCAGAGAATGTTAATCACACAGGAGGAGATTGCCCAACCCTCTCCCACAGAGCAGCTGGTAGATTTGAACCACCTGCCTTTGAGTTGGCAGCACAATTCCTTACAACTAAGCTAACAGATGATGCAATAACTGGGTCAAATGGGATAGGTATGAGGAGTCAATGAGACTGGCTCAGGACAGAGCAGACTTTAAAGCTGTTGTATATAGAGGTCTCTACGAGTCACAGAAGACTCAACGGCACATAACAACAACAAGCCACCAACAAGAATCCCCTCTCATAGATTGAGAATATCTCAAAAGTGGACAAGAATTTTAGGTTATTTGTTTCAATCCCATCAAAAGTAAAAATAAAAGGGATCTTTTCTCAAGTCACATAGGAAGACTGGGACCCTTGAAACTTATCATTCCAGAGCTGAGGTCAGACAAACCATAGCTTAAATATCAATATTTTAATTAAAACCAAACAGCATTTGATCAGATTTTGAGTCAGAGAGATTCCAAGTTGTGAGAGTCATTCCATCAAGACAAGGAACTATAAAGGCCCACCGTGAAGATGTGAATGATAAACCCCTGGCACTCCCCCTCCTCCAACACCACGGCTGTGCCTGGGCCACTTCCCCCCACCCGCCAACCGCTTTCCACAGGTTCTCCTCCACTGATCCTACAGACACAGCTAACAGAGGTTTATTTGCTTGTTTTGTTTGTATGCTTTTTAAAAAAATTCATTTTCTTTTTTTGGTGTTTTTATTTCTTTAACTTGACTTTCAGTCCAATAACCCTGCATTGGTCACAGCTAATGATTCGAAGAGACAATGAAAGATAGAATTGAACTGAGGAGACTCAGGCAAGCCTCTTGGGGGGGGAAAATAACATATCTCTTGTTGTTGTGTACCGTTGAGTCAAAACTGACCCATAACTGACCCTCCAGAGGGTTTTCAGAAGCAATTAATTGCACAGGAGGAGATTTCCCATCTATGTCCCATGGAGCAGTTGGTAGATTTGAACCACATGCCTTCGGGATTGCAGCACAGCTCCTTGCTACTAGGCCACCAATGCTCAAATATATCCTTTATGGTATCATAATAGCTTGCTGTACTTTGTTTCTATTGGTTTGACAGATTCTGTCTTTTAAAAAACATGAGTGGCAAAAAAAAAAAAAAAGTGAGTGTCATTAAGCATGAATTGTTCTGCTTTGTTTTGTTTTTACCAGCTTATCAAGTTCATATCACATCCATCACAGAAGAAAATGTCTTCATCAAGTACACTGCAACTCTTCTAGATATCTTCAAAGCTGGTGAGAATTCAGGAGTTCATTCATTCAGTATTCTATACTTGCTAAGTCTCGGGCCCACCACTTCTCTATCAGTTTGTGATAGGTTTACATGCTACTATCATGCTGGAAGCTATGCCACCAGTGCTTGAAATACCAAGAGGGTCACCCATAGTGAACAGGTTTCATCAGAGCTTCAAGGCTCAGACAAATTGGAAGCAAAACTGGCCTCCATGTCTAAAATGATGGGCCCTTGAAAACCCCTTGAGTACTGCACAATTGAGCAGGGCTTCATTCTGTCATACAAAGGGGGGCTATGAGCTCCTCAATTCAATGACACCTAACAACAGCATATCTCGGGAATTATTTTAGATACGGAGGATATAACTTGAATAAAGCAGCCAGTTTTCCTGGCTCCAACAAACTTCTATTCTACTTAGGAGGCACACACTGTTAAAAACTGAGGGAATGAAAAAAATAAGCATAATCTATGAGCTAGACAAGAAACTAGTTGGGAAAACTATCTCGATGTGATAACAGATAACTTCTTTGAAATAAAGACAGGTAAACGAAAGAATCCACTGACTATTGAGTGGATTCCAACTCTCACTGACCCTCCTGTGATCACAGTTGATCAACCACAGTGATGCTCCTGTGGAGCAGCTGGTGGATTCAAGCCAGAACACAACTCTTTTTCGTTGGTTTCCCCCCACCTCCGCCCCACCCCCAATATCATCAATCTTTTCTTTAACTAAGCACAATTCTTCATTTTGGAGCAAATGATGTAGTTTTTTTTACATTATGCATTTTTCATTGTGCATTGCACTGGGAAAATCTGCAGCTAGGGACCTTTCCAAATTATTGAGGAGTAATGATGTCAGTCTGAGGACTAAGGTGCATCCAATTCAGGCCATAGTCTTTCCGATTACTAGTTATGCATCTGAGACCTGGAAAATGAATAAGGAGGACAGAAAAAGAATTGATGCCTTCGAACTGTGGTTTGGAGAAGAGCACTGAACATCCCATGAACGTCTCATGGATGGCCAAGAGAATGAATAGATATGTCTTTGCAATCACATACTATGCATCAGAGAGCTGGACAATGACATAGGATGATAGAAGGAGAATTGATGCCTCTGAGCTGTGGCACTGGAGAAGAATATTGAATATACCATGGACTACTAAGAGAACAAACAGGTTTGTCCTGGAGAGGGTGAGACATACTTTAGAAATATTGCAGAAAGGGAACAGTCCTTGGAGAAGGACGTCATGCTTGGAAAGGTGGAAGGACAGCACAAGTGAGGAAGACCCTCAATGAGATGGATTGATTCAGTGACTGGGGTAATAGGGGTAGGTGTGTCAGAGACAATGAGGTTGGCGTGGGATAGAGCAGGGTTTAGAGCTGTTGTACATAGGGTCTCTATGAGTTGCAAATGACTCACAGCACACAACATTAGTTAAACCAAGAAGATTATGAACTAAAATGTTCTATTTTGTTTTCCTAATTCCCTTTATTTTCACTTCAATTTTCTGAGTTTTACAAACACTTGACAAAGTTTCAGGATCCAAAAACTTTTAATCTTAAAATATCATTATATTTCTCACTTTGGTTATTAACAACAAAACTATTTTTATATAATTTGTTTTTCTCTTTCATTAATATTTTATTTCATTTCAAGCTTAATTTTATAATAGTTTTGCTTCACTTTTATAATTTATTTTATTTAGTACGATTTTACCATTTACTAATTGCTTCATCACCTTTAATAGCTGAGATATTTTTCCTAAATTACTTAAGATTGTATTTCTATTAAAAAAATACAGTATCATGGCCAGATCACTAAGAGAGACACACATATACATCTACACATGCATTTTCTAAATGCTGACTCCTATTTCACAATATCTATGAAAGAGACTCTAATTATTGAACTTCATTTTCAAATTGCTTTTGCAGTCTTAGCTGCTCACTGATAACTCAGTCTTTTTCCAGTTTCAATTATTGCCATTTTTTCTAGCACCTCAGACTACTACTTAATTCCATCTAGGATTTACTAGATGTATGGAAGTAAATACCACATTTCTGAAGACAGTATTTAAAGTGTTTTGCTTGGCCTGTATCTGTTATTACATTAAATTATATCAACCCTATGGGACAGAGTAGAATTTCCCCCAAAGTCTTCCCAAAGCTGTAAATCTTTATAAAAACAGATGGGCACATCTTTCCAACAGAGCAGCTGGTGGGTTCAAACTGCTGACCTTTTAGTTGGCAGATGAGCACTTAACCATTATAACAGTACTTTTCTCCCTTCCTCCCTCTGTTCATCTTTTCTACTCATGCTTTCCTATTCCTTCCTGCCTTCCAAGCTCTATTGCTAGGCTAGTACTGTCCTTTTGATCTTTCATGGGTGGTTATTCTACTGTTTACCTATTCACCTGTCTGTTGTTTGCTAAATTTGAGCCACGGGGGTGAATGAGTTCAGTTCCAGGACTAAACGATGTCTGAAGACCTCAACGAGATGGATTGACACAGTGGGCTCAAGTGTGTTAAAAATGATGCAGATGGCACAGGATAGGACAGTGTTGCGGTCATTTGTTCATGGAGTCACTATGAGTCGTACTTGACAGCACCTAACAACAACAGCAATAAAGGCATATGGTTTAGGAGTCCATTAGTCTGCGTCAGAGCAGTAAATCTGGTCTTTGTTATTATGTTGAGTTTTGTTCCACATCTTTCTTTTACTCCATCCAAGACCTCCCTTGGGATTGATGTCAGAGTGGTCAGCAGCAATAGCCTAGCACCACCCAGTTCTCCTGGTCTCAAGGTCACGCTGGCTGTGGTTCCCAGCTCGATTAATTTTCCGAATTAATTGATACCATTTGTCTTTGATTTTTCAAGTCTTTGTTTTTAATTTTAAATCATTTAAAACCATTTTCTATTGTTTTCATTTTTCAGTAATATTTTATGGCTATTTTTATCTTTTGCCATTATGAAATATTTAAAGTCTGAAGGTGCTAACTTTTAACTCTATTCTCTAAAATTTTTATTTGCTTTACAACTTTCTAATAAGAACTTTTTTTATAATTTCAAACATTCACTGTATGAAATCTGTGATATTCTTTGACATTTTTCTTTATTGATCTCATATTTTCTTTAGTTGAATGATAATTGCCAGTTTGCTAAAATATGTATTTGTCATTTTCAACTTACCTGGTTCCACTTTTGAGTACCATTTACACCCAAAATTCTTAACATAAGCAATAATAAGCCATTCCTACTTTTAATTATGTAATTCTTTTTGTTACAGCAGAAATAAATTTTTTTGTTCTGTTATATTATTTTTACATAGTATCAAAATATATTACAAACTGTACTCATTTTTTTGGCCTGGCACCATATAATTCCCAAGCTGCAATTCTTCACTAATATGTTTTCCTTGTTCTTCTTTGTGGACTGGAAAAGTTCATATTTATGAACAGAAAAGTTAAGAAACATATAGGCCTTATTTTGACACCCTTGCTATCTTCACACTGTCTTTTTAATATTTATTGTAAATTTTACATTTCTAAATGTGGGGTCAAGATTGGTGGACGATTTATCAACAATCTGCGTTATGCAGATGACACAACCCTGCTTGCTGAAACTGAGGAGGACCTGAAGCACCTGCTGCAGAGTGTCAAGGACTGCAGCCTCCAATATGGATTGAAGCTCAATGTCAAGAATACAAAGATTCTCACCACTGGACCAATTGGCAGCATCAGGATGGATGGTGAAGAGATTGAGATTGTTCACAGCTTTAGTTTGCTAGGCTCCACAGTCAACACCAGTAGCCAGGAAACTAAAAGGTGCATTGCCATGGGAAAGTCTGCTGTTAGGGATCTCTCTGAAGTACTGAAGAGCAATGATGTCTCTCTGGAGACTAAGGTGCGTCTGATACAGGCCATGGTCTTCACAATCGCAATCACTTGTTATACATCAGAGAGTTGGACAATGACCAAGGAAGGTAGAAGGAGAATTGATGCCTTTGAGCTGTGGTGCTGGAGAAGAGGATTAAGAGTACCATGGACTGCTAGGAAAACAAACAGATTCATCCTGAAAAGGGTTAAACCAGGTGGCTCCTTGGAGGCAAGGATTCTAAGGCTCCGTCTAACATACTTTGGACATGTTGTGAGGAGAGACCGGTCATTGGAGAGGGACATCATGCTTGGGAGGGTGGAGGGCAGGCACAGGAGCGAAAGACCCTCTATGAGGTGGATTGATTCAGTGACTGGGATAATCGGGATGGGTGTGTCGGAGACAGTATGATTGGCACAGGACAGAGCAGAGTTTAGAGCTGTTTTGCATAGGGTCGCTATGAGTTGCAAGCGACTCGACAGCACATAACAACAACGACAACAAATATCAAAGTACTACACACCTATTATTTACAGGAGAATTTTTGTACAGTGCTAATAAGCCAAAATAAAAACTCCACTATTTGGAACTAAGAGCAGTTTGAGAATAATGATGAACTAATATTCTTCCTAAAGCACAGGATGCTTAAAGTAGGAAAGGATATGGATGAAAAAAACTAAGCATAATTGAAGCTGAAGTTAATTCACTGATCTCTCTCTTTCTTTGAGTGTTTAAAAAGTGCTATAATAAAATCCTTATACATTACAATCAGTACTTATTATGACAAGGACTGAACTGGCAGTTAATGTTGGGAATGTTGCTCAGAGTTGCTGCATTAAGAGGCTACGTATGAATGCTTATCAGGACAGCATTAAAAATTTGCTTGAACTAATGCATATACACTAAAATGTATATTACTAATTAAAAATGAGCTCTAGTGTCTTAGTGATAAGAAACTACTTTGTAATCCCAAAGGCATGCAGTTCGAATCCATCCACTTCTCCTGTGCTGTCTGACAATCTCTGACATACCCAAGCCCATTGCTGTAGACATTGCGTCAATCCACCTGGTTGAGGGTCTTCCTCTCTTTCTCTGTCCCTCCACCTTCCCAAGCACAACGTCCCTCTCACGTCCTGATTTATATATCAGGACAGCTAAGGACCTCCACCAAAGTTCCCTCTGGCTTTGTGCTGCCCAAGCATAGTTCACCATCTTTCAGTTCTTAGCATGCTCCACCTCTCCAGCATTGCAGATAAGGCCAGTGGGGCATGGCACCCTTGGCAGACTGGAGAGGTCTCAAGATCCCACTTTGGCTGGCAAGTGGTATATGCCTCTCCTAGAAACAAGCCCAAAATATGAAGCTTTATCATCTTCACCTCCAAGGAGCACTCTGGTTACACTCTCTCCAAAACCTGTCTGTCCGTTCTTTTGGCAGTCCATGTGCCATTCAATAGTCTTCACCATCACAGTTCTACAGCATCAAATCTCTTTCTGTCATCCTTATTCATTGCCCAGCTCTCAGACAGATGCATAGCAAGTTATTGAAAAAACCATGGCTGAATAAGGTGCATCTTAGTCCTCAAACTGACATCATTGCTCTTGAATAATGTGGAGAGATCTTTGACTGCAGACTCTAAGGAATACTCCAGGGAATATCCCCACCTAACAGCATACCCAGATTAGTGTGGCGAAGCTTTGCCATCTTTGCCTTTAAGGAACTTTCTGGCTGCACTTTCTCTAATTCTCTTAATTCCTGCTTGTACAACAGTAACTAACAAGGTCATTATGTTCCATGCACTATTCTAAGCATTTCCCGACAATGAACTCTGGTGGCATAGTGAATTAGGTGCCAGACTGCAAGCCAACATGTCATCAACTCAAATCCACCAAGTGCCCTGTGAGAAAAAGATGGACAGTTTCTTCTTGTAAAAATTTCAGCTTCACTCTGTTGCTGTTTGTTGGAATTTACTCGATAATAGTGGGTTTTTATTTTTTTAATCTCATGACGGTACTACAAGATAGGGTTTGCTATGCCAATTATGCAATTATTCATACGCATTTTGTTTGGGGTTTTCCCCCCTTTTCTTTTGATTGTGATTTTAATGAAAGTTTACATAAATAGTGGATCTTAATTCATTCACTGTTACACTTTCCTGCTCTTCCTCCAGGTTCTTATTAAATGTTCATTCATTGTTATACATTTGCCCATTTTTTTTGAATGAGAGATGTGATCCTTTTGAAGAGGGCATAATTCATATTGTCAAACCTTTTTTTACCACAAAGAGTGGCTGCTGGGTTCAAATACCAACCTTTCAGTTAACCACCGAGAACTTTACTGCTATTCCATGCTGACTCATTTCCATAAAGACCACAACCTTGGAAACTTTATGGGGTTAGAGTGAAGGTTAGGGCTTCTATGAATCAGAACCAACTTGAGGGAAACAGGTTTGTCTTTTTGTTTGCTTATTTGTTTGCTTCTAGCCATTGACTTTCCAGTATGAATTTACACTGCCTAATAAATACCCATGAGGAACCTGAAAGTGTGTGGGAGTCTATCATTGTGACGTTGAAACATCAAAGTGATCACTTTCCTGTGTGACTTCCAGGGGAAGCTGCCGTTGAGAAAGACTCTGAAGTCACCTTCATTAAAAAGATAACCTGTACTAATGCTGACCTGAAAAAAGGAAGTCAGTACTTAATTATGGGTAAAGAAGCTCTCCAAATAAAACACAATTTCAGTTTCAAGTAAGTCACCAACATCTTTTGAATCTCTAGTTAACCCTCTAAAACTTGGGGCAATACTCTAATGTGTACCTGAATATTTAAGTTAAGACCCTAAGTATCCTGTACGTTTCCTATGTTTTCAGTTCATAACCAAAAAACCTCTGTGACTATAAATTAAATTATTAATTTAAAACAAAGAACCCCTTAAAAGTATAATATAAAGTAAAAATGGTCACACACCTAAAGGCTCAGCTAACCATGGTTTATACCACTAGAGTTATTGAATCTGATAAAAAGTCTGCTCCCTCAGCTCTGTTTTAAAGATGGAAAATATTTAAGTAACTAATTAACTTTTGAAAAGGTTCAACATCATAAGAGATGTCATAACTGCATTTAACCTTAAAAGTCCCAAATAACTTCACTGTCTCTCAGTGAAGCCATCCCTGAAAAATAACAGGGTGGTTTACCTGACCCTGAGGCACTTCAACAGGAATGGATTATTATCAAGGGAATCAAATATTGCTTTTCTCAATTTGTAGCCATAATTCGTAAATGCTTTGTTTTCACTTTTTTTTCTTGGTAGGTACATCTACCCTTTAGATTCTTTGACCTGGATTGAATATTGGCCTTCAGATGCAACATGTCCATCTTGTCAAGCATTTTTAACTAATTTACAAGACTTTGCCGATGACATCTTCTTAAATGGCTGCTAACATGCTCGAAGAGGTTCAGCTGCATGCAGTTTCCCTTATGGACTCCTGTTGATGGAGTGTCTGTTGTTTTTTTGTATTAGTGGGGTTTTGTTTTTTTCATCTTTTTTTTAAACATTCACTGCTGTTCTTACTTGAAGCTTACTTTACTTAGAATTAGTTGCACTTGCTTGTAATAGAGAACAATTTGAAGACCTGCAACTTTCTGAAATAACATGGCCTTGGGGAACATGCACACAGATACTCTAGAGTTACTGGACACCAGAAGCAATGAATTGGAAACTTTCCTAAAACCAACCACCCGGGAATGTTTGCTGGGGCCAAAAGAATAGGCCCATTGAAATGTGGTATCTTACAAAAACATGGCCTTTCCTTGAAAGAAAACACCAAGGAACAGAAAACCGATCATTAAAGCCTGACTTTGCTTTCAAATTGTGTTTAGGAGCATGTTATTTTATGCTAGGTTAGCTTCAACAACACAAAGACAGGCAAATTGAGAAAGGTGGAGAAAGGCAGAAATAGAGAACCTTAACCCTGAGAAAACCTAGCCTCAGAGTCCTCAGCAAACTGAGAAGGCAGCAGATTTTGTTTCCTCCTTCCCTCTCCTCTCCTATTGCTCTCCCTGCTCTGCTGAGAGACCCCTCTACTCCCCTTCTCTCCTCCCAGCATATATCTATTTCCCCAGAAATTTGTCCTATCCAATAATTGTTACACTAGTAGGTAGGGCCCATTGTGGGAAACTACATTAATAAGACCTTGCTCTCACTTTAATCAGGTTTTCTCCTTCAGCCTCTGTTTGAGCTCTGTGAAAGATAATTTACAGGAGGAGATTACTTTTTTAAGTGGGATTTTGCAGCATTTTAGATTTTACAAGAAGCTCTCACATAATATACTCATGTAATGTCTCAAGAATCTTATAAGGAATAGGAATTCTTAGCATCCCAATTCTATGGATGAAGAAAATGACATTCAAAAAGAAAGAAGTTTTCCTAGCCTACTAAGGCACCCTGGGTTGTAGTGTGTAACAGCAGACTGCTACCTGAAAGCGGTGGTTACAATCCACCAGTCACGCCATGGGGAAAAGCTGGGTAGTCTCCTTTCTTAAAAAATGCAGTCACGGAAACCAGCTAGCTGGTCACTATAAGTAGAAACCAACCAAACAGTTGTAGATTTAGGTTTGGGTTTGTTGGGTTTTTAAAATAAGGAGCAAAGTCAGAGACTAAACCCCAAGGTGCTCTCTTAGTTGAAACCCATCCCTAGTTCCACCACTGCATTGCTTTCCAGGTTTATATTAGGACAGAAGCAGGATGAAGTTGGAGTTTCCCTGACATCATTCAACCAGTACGTATTACAAAGTGGCATGATAATACACTTTGTGGGTAATGTTAGCAGTGACTGAAATGCCATCTGTACAAAAGAACAAGGGCCATGTGAGCACAGCTATATCCCACCTTTATCAACTTCATTGAACTATCCCCGTCAACAGTATGAATAACACAAAACCAATTCTCAGGAGTACAGATATGCCCCCCCCCATGCTCCCACACCTTTCCCCACTTATTCCAGCACCAATCTTATTGATTTACTGGGTCAAAACCCAATGTGATGTCTCACAGACCACACAGAACCACACTGGGGAAATGAAAAGGTTATAATCCAGGTTAGAAGCAGAAAATAGGACAGCTTGCAAAATGTGCTCAGAGGCACCTCAGCCTCGAGCCTCATGGCTGTATGCCTGTGTTACAATGTTCTCAGTCCTGAAAATTATGGCTCCCCCACCCATAGTTGTCCAATAAACTTGGGCAAAATCTCTTAGCTCTAGTTCCAGTAATGTAGCAGCCCCAAGGTCCCATCTCATGTCAGGTCTCTGGACTCCACTGTGGCTGCTGCTCTCACATGCCCTCTTGCTTGCTCTTTTCCTGGTGGAAAAGATCCTCCTCCTGCTGCTGGATCTGTTCAGTGTAATGGTGAGACTAGCCAATCCCCTTATGGATGCAGTAACACACCCTATTCACATATTTCCACCCAACCACATGGCAAAGTCAAATTCAAAGGCAAGGAAAGTAGCTTTGAATCATCAACTCCACACCATTTCTTTTGAAAAGTCTGCCTGGGGGAAAATAAGCAAACCGTTGCATTTTGCTAGTTAGGTGGAACCATACATGACCTTTCAGTGTGTTTCTTAAGAAACACCAAGATTTTCCCCTTGCAGCGAATAAGAATTTTTTTTTAAATGTCAAAGCTCACATTGTAGGTACTCTTTTGGCAAAATCAACCAAAACGTCTAAACTGTCTGCGAGGAAAGGGTGTTGGCCTTCTCCTGCAGCACGCCAACACTGCCTCTTCTCACTGCAGGTGGAGTGAACCACAAGATCTGCTTTGGAGGCACCAGAGTTTCTGGGATATCCTGTTGCATCTCTCCAAGCCCTATGGCAAACAGTGCCCAATTCCTAGGTTGATGTAGTGGTCTAATGAACCCACAATGCAGCTGAACTTCCAAATATCAAAGCAGGCTTTGTAAGTTATCCTGACACTATTTTAAGAGTCTTCCCTAGTTAACCCTTACACGCTTAAACATCACTTCATTAGTGAGGCCTTGGCTGCTACTCCACTCCACCCATCTGCCTCTATTCAACACTCTCCTTGCACCCTGCACTTTTCTTCCAAAGGCTTTTATAGACTGGGTAATGGTGGGTGTGGTTCAATGATGACTAATTTCATAAAACAAAATGAAGAGGAATTATTGTATAAAATGCAATGTGAATGAAGGACAGTTTGAAACCACAAAGTATATGAACCTTGTAAACAAATCAATATAAAATAATTATATAGAAAAGGCTTTTACGTGCATGTCATGATTTCCATAATCAATTATTTCAATGTGCATTTTCCTGATTACTGTATGGGAAAAGTCTGTGTCTGTACTATTTGCCACTGTCTTTCTCTTAGGCCTGGCACATAAGAGTGACTCAATAAATGTTTGTGAACTAATTATACTAAGTAGTGTGAAGACTCAAAAAACAAACCAACCAAAAAATCAAACTGATGGCCAAACAATCAATTTCAACTCAGAGTGATCCTGTGACAACACAGTAGATTAAATGTTGAGTGGTTAAGGGAAAGGTCACTGGTTTGAATCCACCAGCTACTCCTCGGGAGAAAGATGTGGTGGTCTGCCTCCACAAAGACTTCCAGCCTTGGAAACCCTATGAGGGAGTTCTACCCTGTCCTTCATGGTCTCCGTAACAATGAGGGGGGAAACTAAAAACCTGGATTCTGGGCTTGGCTTTGTCTCTAACTGGCAATGATTTGGAACAAGTTCCTTAATTTCTTTGATAGTCTGTAAAACAAAGGGATTGAACACTCACTGTCTCTTATTTAGAGCTCTATATCTTATGAGTTTATGATGTGAAACAGAAAATAAAACTTAATAACTTGGAAGCATCTGGATATTGGGTTAATGGGACTGAGAGCAGAGAGTGACCTGTGTGAGTTGAGATGCTGCCTGGAGTTTCCTGGAGAAACACTGATGGATTTGGGCAGGTAGAAGGGCCCTTATGTTTGAGGAGGAAAGTGTAAAACAGGTATCCCTGGAAATAAACAAGATGATTTTTAACGGTCAGATAAGCTTTGTTAATGTAATAACTGTATGGCTGACTCTGAGAAGAATGGGAATCCCAGAACATTTGATTGTGCTTATGAGAAACGTATACTTAGACCAGGAGGCAGTTATCAGAACAGAGTAAGGAGACATTGCGTATTTCAATAAAGGGAAGGGTGTCCACCAGGGATGTATTCTCTCTCCATACCTTTTCAATCTATATGCAGAGCAGATTATCTAGGAAGCTGGCCTCTATGAGGAGGAATGTGGCATCAGAATTAGAGGAAAATTCATCAACAATCTGCATTATGTATATGACACAACACTATTTGGTGAAACTGAGGAGGACCTGAAGTGCTGCAGTAGATCACGGACTGCAGCCTTCAATATGGATTGAATCTCAACACCAAGAAAACAAAGATTCTCACCACTGGGACGATTGGCAGCATTATGATAGATGGTGAAGAGATTGAGATTGTTAACAGCTTTAGTTTGCTTGGCTCTACAATCAACACTCTTGGCACCAGCAGGTAGGAAATCAAGATACAAACTGCAATGGGAAGGGACCTCTCCAGAGTACTGAAAAACAATAGTGAAAGTCTGGAGACTAAGGTGTGCCTGATCTGGGCCACAGTCTTCACAATTGTTTGCTATGCAGCAGAGAGCTGAACAGTGACTAGGGATGATAGAAAGAGAATTAATGCCTTTGAGCTGTGGTGCTGGAGAAGAGTGTTGAATATACCATGGGCTGCCAGGAGAACAAACAGGTTCATCCTAGAGAGGATGAATCTAGGCTGCTCCTTGGAGGCAAAGATTCTATAGCTTAGACTGACATACTCTGGGCATGTTGCAAGGATGGATTAGTCCTTGGAGAGGGACCTCAAGTGTGGAAGGATGGAGAAAGCGATGGAGATCATTAATGAGATGGATTGATACAGTGACTGAGGTAATGAGGGTAAGTTTGTCAGAGATAGTAAAGTTGGCACAGGATAGAGCAGGTTTCAGGGCTGTTGTACACAGGGTCACTATAAGTCACAAGTGACTCAACAGCACATAACAACAACAACAGCATATGTTTCTTTTAACACTAGAAAAAAATTATATAACACACACATGGAGGCCAGGATCCAAAATATTCTATTAAAATTCAAATACATTTCTTTAAATTCAAAAGTAAGTCTATTTAAAAAAACAAATTCCATGGAGGCAGTGGGAAGTATATGTTCCCCTTAGGGCAAAAATCATGAAGTTGGCATACGAATTATTTAAGTTTAAGTTTACGACAAAATCTGGAGCTGGTTATATGTGTCAGGCACAAAACGAGGAGGCTGGCCTCATTTCTTTTTTCTCTGTTAGTGACCCTAAGCTAAAACCTTGCTGCCTTACCTCCCAGTACCTGCTC